ACGGTCATAGGAAGGATGAGAGATGACAACAAGTGACCTGTCACAATAAAAGTTTAATAAATCACACCAAATGAATGAGTTCATATTTAAAGGTCCTTGTTGTCCCAACATATATCCTCCCTTTTATCTCAGGAGTGTACCCGATGTGTGATCCTGAGAGCAAGAGTGTATAGTCCATAGCTGAAAGATTTAATTTGACAGTTCATTAAAATTTAGTAACATCTGGGCATTTCATTAATAAACTGAGCATCTGTCAACTACTAAACAACTCTATCTTGACTAGGCAAGAACAATTAACAAGTCACAAAACCAGAAAAAACATGACAAAAACATTACTATACCTAACAAAAATAACCTGTGTTTCTCAGTTACTTGTATACAGAAAGGTTAGTGGTGTAAATCAGTTAGGGTTGCAGAGAGAGGAACACCTAAAATTAATTTATTTTTGGAGTGTGTTGAGTAAGGACATGTGTATTACTAACTGTGCGTCATCATGAGTGTGTCCTAAGCTAGTGTTTGCATCAGTGATCTTAAAAATACTACCAAGGAGCTTATCAAACAGTGGTGTCAAATCAAACATCTGGAATGTTGCAGCTGCAACCATTGCTTTGGTCTCACCAGCTGTAAAAGATAATTCTTCATTCAAGGCTTGTCAGGTAATTTCTGACACTGGGAGGTTGCACCTATATAAACTTGTGGACCACTTTAGAACTGATTTTCCACACTAGTTTAACTTCCTTTGGGTTGCATAGGGCAAGTCAATGAGGTTGTTACCTAACTCCCTAAGGTAGTCATCAATATGTTAATTGCAGTTGTGGATCTGGATAATAATTTTCCATATCTTTAGCTATAAACTCAAGTGCTTCAAGGTGGGACACTGTGAGGTTGTTACCGGGGAAGGCGAGGCTAAGCTAATGCTAAATGCATGACAGAAACAGCCAGGTACAAGCTCTGTGTGTCATGGGGCCGGTGGCACACTCTGTCTTAATTTAAGGGGGAGCACTTTAATTTTACAGCAAATGAAGACAGTTTGCCATTCCTACAGAGCAGGTTTAGCTCAGAATAGCTAGCAGCAATAGTTAACTCTTAAGGTAACCCTACGAGGGCTTAAAATCAATAATCTCAAATTCCTTAATTTGACGAATGAATCAATTTCACTACAAAATACTTGTTTGTAAATTCAGCTGGATGTCTACTGCGGTCTTCAGGGGCAGCATATGGTGCCTTCATGAGTCATCCCATTCAAGATAGTTCCTGCATAGCCCCAATTTGGTCCTTCCACACTGCTGTTACACTCTTTTTTACAGACTTAAACAAGCCAATGGTTCTGGCTCACAACTAATATGTTAAACAATGTAGATAAAATGGAGCGAAGCTAGTTCAGGCAGTCAACTCGAGCTGCGCTGATTACACACATGACATGCCATGGAATGGCGCCGGCGACAACGGCAGCCTGTCATGGCAGCTCCTTTCATTGTTGTAGTTTTAGTGTGTTTTCAGTGTGTTTTTGCTATTTTGAACTCTTTTCTTACTTTCTTACTTTCTTACTACTTTGTTCATGTCGCCTAAATACTTTTTTGACGTTTTTGAGCACTTTTTATTTTTTGTTTACGCTGGTCTCCATGGCGACGGGGAGTCGCATTGTTTTCACCCGCGACCAGATGATCGCCCTGAGGCCCCCTAGCATCCTGACTGGAGAGAGACCCTCCATACCGGAGGAGCTGAGGAGGAGACGGTGAGGCTGCAGAGCGGGGGTTAAACGGAGGATAAAGAAGAGGAGCTTTAAACTCTTCATCCCTGCAATCATCGAGCAGATACCGGACTCCGTATTGCTGCTGCTGCTGCTCTGTAAACTTTCTCAGTTATTAATTAATCTGACCATTATTGTAAATGCGATGTCTCTCGCCATCTCTGTCTCGGAGAGTGAGTCTCTGTCTGAGGGGAAGATATTGGCTTCATCCCCGACACCCAGACTCAGTCAGCTGAGGTCGCATCACCCGCAAATGACTCACCTGCGGGCCCGTGCACTGCATGTTGGAAGAGCTGTATGCTCGCTACATCTCAGTTCCATCCGGCCTTAACTATGAAGAGCTCTTCAGTTACCTCTCGGTTCAAGAGAGCTCCACTGATGTCCAGGACTCGGGTTTAAACACTGCTAATCAAACATCGCATCTCCCGTGCCGACCATGTTCCTCAAAGATCTGATCCTGGCCCCGATACTGAAGAATCATTGCGTCTCCTTGATGTGGAATCTGCTCTGACTGTCATTAATTAATTCCCTGGAAACAACGCGTTTTCAAACAACCAGGGCCATTTTTGGAAGATAGTAATCCAGATGTCAGAAAGCATTGCTTTTGGCGTCTATAGAATGTCCATATGTGAAGTTATGTGCAACGTAGAGAGGAGCTTGATACCTTGGCTATAAGCTGTAATCTCAGTACTTGTCTTTCTATGGTGGCTCTCTTTTAGGAGTATCATAAGTCCTTCTCTGCCAAAGCTGCAATGTACATTCAGAATTCAGTCAGAACTCCGTGCTAATTTCTGTAAATCAGCCTCCAATAGCAGGTCTATGCTGGCTTCCAAAAGTAACCCATGTCTGTAAAAACCTGCAGTTGAGCCAGAAGTAGTAAAGGATCTTCTTTTCGAAGAGGTTATTAAGGATACATGTTAGGTCATTGTTAAAATCGCCCTTCTCCTTCTTCAGAGTATATTATTAGGTGTTTCCACAAGTAACAAAACGTTTCATCATTGTTTTCTCAGCTCTTCGCGATTCTTCCATTCCGAACATATATGGCTTAATTTCTCAAGAGCCGTTTTCCTTCTATGCTTGGTAGAATGCGCAGTACTCAGAGGTTAAGGACAACTTACACCTGCCCACCTCCCTTCCCGGCGCCATCCCCACTACATTGCCAACTGCAATGAACCAGCTTTGGGGGGCCCAGCTTTGCAAAAGCTTGAGAACCCCTGCCTTAAACAGTTCTAAATTCACTGTTCTTTATGAACTCTACCCAATTGTCGTTTGGGGCAGCAGATGGTCCCAGAAACATTATGGTGTTTTGTGAGCTGCCATAGTGGAAATAACTTATAGTCTGTGCATTTATTGTTTTTACTTGATCTTAACATCTTCAAATGCAAGTATCAAAGCTATGCTAGCAGGGATTCAGTTTCACATTCGATGTAAAGATCCAGCATCCCAGAGTCTTCTGGGAAATCCTTCCACTCAGCTGCTCCTCAGTGGCTTTAAATGGCGCATCCTCAAGGCAACGATAAGACTCCTCACACAATTCACTGAGGCATTAATTGTTTTCACTTATATTGATGTAATGTTGGAATAAGTTAATGGCTTTTACGGGTTTCGCAGGGGTGAATATGCATGCAGATCTCATCTTAATCCTCAGCATAATCTTCCCTTCTCTGATTTAACCTTACAAGATCACATCACATGTACTCAATATTCTTGAAGCACTCATAATCAGATAGATCTCACCAAGGCACTCAAATCTCATTGCTATGACTAACACTACATTTTGTCCTTTCTCTTCTATGATGAAATCCCTGCATCATCGCTCCAACCCATCGGTTGGCTCCCTTGTTCATCATCGTTGGTTGCAACCCATGGCGAGATCCCGTTTCTGCTTAAGCTGTGTGATCTCTGCTGAGCTGTGGCCTAACGCACACACTATCCCTTCACTATCTAAGATCGGCGCAGCTGTCCATCCGCCCGCATCAACCAATCTACCAAGGCTAATGTCAGGCTCCACAAGAAGGGATTTTGACCATACAAAACTCATGAGCTCCTGCTCCCCTTAATGCATTTAAAATATTTATTTGCTGACACCCCAACTGGTCGAGGCTGACGACCACTGAGCCGAAGGGTCTGTCCTAGGTCTTTGTCGCCAAGTGCTTGCTCATGGTGGTACTGTTGGGTCTCTGTAAATGTTGTAATGTTATAAGGAGTTCAGTCTAGACCTTCTCTATTTGAAAGTGTCCTGAGATAACTTTTGTTATGAATTGGCGCGATACAAATTTAATTGATTAATCATATATTTGCATATCAGGTGGTTGCTGGATTTGGAGTATCTATATCTTTGCTACATGGGAAAAGTTCCCGGGTAATACTTTGCTAAGTAATATATTCCCTCATGGCTTGAGGTGCTCATAGGGAATAGCCACACGGCAAAACCCACACATAGCAGTTCACTAGGTAGTGTATTCTGCTGGGGCCAAGGTGCTTCAGGGAATGGCCACACGGTGGCTGGTGTCAAGGTCCACACATAGCAGTTCACTAGATGGTGTATTCCACTGGGGCCAAGGTGCTTCAGGGGAAAGGCCACACGGCGGCCAAGGTGCCAAGCCAAGGTCACACATAGCAGTTCACTAGATAGTGTATTCCGCTGGAGCCAAGGTACCAAGCCAAGGTCACACATAGCATTTTCGTCACTAGATAGTATATTCCGCTGGGGCCAAGGTGCTTCAGGGGAATGGCAACACCGCGCAGTGTAAGGTCCACACATAGAAGACTGTTTCACTGATGGCATCAGGCTCTCTTCCGTGCTGTTTTGGGGGGTTAAGATATTTGCGATGAGGTCGGAGCCTAGACGGCAAAATCTAAATATGCTATACTGCTTAATAAACATTCCAAACGTGAGTTGGCTGACTGAAATATAAGTTTAGGTAAAAACGGACAGTTTCACAGCTTCATTAACAACATGCAATGGAGGTCTTTTTTAGCCAAGTCTTTGCTGCACTCTGTAGAAAAACAATCACAGTTCGTGGATTTAACCCTTTTTGACACTATTGGAGCACATTGCTAACTAAATTTTACAGACATGTTCAAAATCCACTTTAATTTATCTAGCCTACAACAGACAACAGAAATGGCCATTTTCATGACATACGTGTATTTATTTATCCTTTTAATGTATTTAATTACTTATTTCTACATTACTTCATTATTTTATTAATTTTTATCTCATTGTTTGTCCTTCATACAATTCAGCAGCACCTTATATACTGTATGACTATTTTTACTTGACTTAACTAACTTAAATGTGAGAAAGGTTTAAGGCGTGCCATGTTTCAGCTGTCACAACAGGGTAAATGCGTGTTCTTTCAAATCCACAGTATTCAGTGCATAAACTAACAGTGTAAGCACCCGAGTTGTCGATGAGAAGCCAGTCCCCCACGTGCAACTCAGGAAGCCAGTAGTCGTCAGATAGTTTATCAGTGCTGTCGCAGGTTGGACCCCAGATGATAGACTGGTACTTCTGCTCACTGCTCTTAACAGCCTGCATAGAGCACAAACATTGAAATATAAAACCTGCATCACACTGGTTCTCATATTCTACTGCAGTCTATTTGTTTCAATCCCATTTTACAATTTCAAATAATTTTAAATTACTGAACATGATGGTGATATCAGGTTGCGTCATTGTGCATAATTTAGAGCCCAGTATACTAAGAAATGACGTCTATATTGAACAATTCCACACCTCAAGATTTAAGTCCATGTCAACACTAAGTTTCAATGCAGGAGGTAGTGTCCTCTTTAGGTGGACAATACGGTTGTGGAGGTTGCAGTCTGACTTCCATGTTCTCTGTGAACCTGCAATAATGCCTTTCTATTAACCATAACCAGAATATTACCCTAACCATAACAAACTATCTTTGTTGCCTAACCTTAACCATACCTTTACCATAGATTGTTTGTTAAATGGCAGTCTTTACCTAAATTTAAAGCTGCAGTGAGTTCTTTTTCTAAAAATATATAAGAGAAGGATATTTACCCTGTGACAGTATGGTTCAAACTTGTAGTAAGAAGGTTCATCGACGATGGGACTCAGGGAACCGTACAGTCCATCATTAAGGTAGTACATCATCGTTCTGTCCCGGCTGTTTTCCACAATTTCTGGAAAAAATGCACACAAAGTAATAAAAGTTACTAAAATGGCAACTAGATCTATCAAATATGCAATTTTAAAGATGTTGAAAATAATAGGAAAAAGTTCCTTTTTATCTATGGTCCTCAACACAGATCAAAGTGAGTAACTACTCAGAGGCTGGGTTACTGAATATGTAGTAGTGTACTGACCAGACACATCTGATAGTCACCCACCCCTCTTTTATTTTAAATCAAGATACATATAAATGAAACTGCACTTTGTATAGTTCTGACATATATGTGTTGATACTGGATAGAGAACAGATCTATACATTACCACTGTGTTCCGTATCATCTAGGATGACTCTTTTGGCAATGACGTTCGCTGCCAGTGTAAAGGATGATTCCACATAGTATCGGCCTGGCTCAGCGATGATCTCCACTTCACTGTCAGAGGGGAAGTATTCATCCAGTGCTCCATTAATGACTTCTGAAACCTAGGAAGGCAAAACACAATAGCATAATAACATATATCCCAGGTATGACACATCTATAATTAAATTAATAATTACAACCAAAAACACATTCTCAATAGTGGAAGGATGTGGATTTCTGCATAGAAGAGGCTGGTACCACCCACTCTTGCGAAATTAAATAGGCCAATATGTATAAACACAATAATTTATTAAAAAGATAATAAAGGCAAAACAGATAAAACACACAATACAAAGTCTAACTTAAAGGAACTAAGTAAAGGAAAAAGGTGTTTAAACACTATTCAAAGCTAACCTGAAGATAGTTTGTTACACAGAACGATCTGGGGACACTTGACAATAAAATAGTTGTTGTAGTTATTTGAGTCATTACAATGCATTACAACAATAAACGTGTGTTCTTTATTTTACCTCTTCAAATGTGACTTTGAAGTCATTTCTCCCAGGGAACCCTCCACCAATGTCCAAGAGAGTCATCTGGAATCCCAACTTATTCTGAAAAACATATCAGTACCACTTTATAGTAAGGCACCGTTTACCAAGGGTGTAGAAGTTGGGATATGGAGAGAAGTGTTTGTGACAAGCTCAAACCAGTGTGTAACATTTAGAAGGATAATATTCACAGGTATGTTGTCATTAGTGTTTTTGTGTTTTTGTGAAATTAGAATGAATTCTTTTTATCTACAGAGGGAGCAGGTCCACCATGTTGAACTATCATAATCATACAGTAGCCCATAATGGACAAACCAAACACTGGCTCTAGATGGGGCCTTCTGTGAGTTTTGCGCCCACCATAGTTTATCCTACTTGTTGGGATATTCAGTTGGTTGCAATCTGCATCTTCACCGCAAGATGCCACTAAATCCTATACACTGGACCCTTAACTGTGACGGCTGCGACAAGTGAGTCACAGAGGTAAGGGCAGGGGCCTGGTGCAGTCTCCTTGAATTAGAACTCAAATGTAGTTGTCAGGCATTAAACAGAAATTTAATTGAGAATTGAAGCCATGGGCCAAATTGAAAAAACTAAAATATGAAATGATGATAAAAGGGCACATATCTACAGTGGCATTTCGAGATAAAGTGGGACACTGACTTATGCATGTGTGGCATGACGTATGTGTCTCAGCTTTCTAGTAATTCCCAATTTTAATTAGACCCCTAACACATTTATACCATATACCATATGGTTTTTGCCCAAAATTGCACTCACAGAAATATTTAAGCCTGATTCATAAGATTTATGTATTTCAATTGCATATAAAATTTCCATCCATTTGAATTACTTATATTTAACATAAACAGGCCAATAAACTTTATGTGCTGCATATTTGTCATTCAAATGTAAATGAAACAATTAAGAATGAGATTTATGTATTAATACTAATAAACTCAATGTGTTTTAGAATAAACAATGACATATTTATGTATTCATCATTAATAAATCCAATTTGTTTCAAATACTTAACAAGTGTGTGTATTCAATATGAATTACTCCAATGCATTTGAAATGCTTAGAAAAAGGTTTATGCACTTTATGCAATTTAAATGAAATGCAAAAAGTTTATGTACTTGAAATAATAAACCCAATGCATTTGACATTTTTAACCAGATTATTATTATTTTTTCATTCAGCCTGTACCTACAGTAATATCTACAATAACAATGTTATAAACAGTTGGATCAGCTTGTTTAACATTTTATTTATTAGGCTTCTCAAGGCATGTGGAAAGTTAAGGCACTGAAAAAACTCAAAGGCAGCAACACATCACACTAAACCACCTCCATTCGGCATGGTAAAAGAGGAACTGGCAAGACATACTTGGACACAGAACCAGTACTCATTCACATGTGTTGAAAAGAAGAAAAACAAACACCAAAAGGAAATGCCCTCATTTCAGCATGCAAAAAATACAAACAAAAATAAACCAAAAACATAAAAATAAAATGTACTCATTTGTGCACATTTAGGCAGAGAAATTTTACTTATTTTGCCACACAATAGCCTAACATATGCAAACATTTAAACTAAGTCAAGGGAACACTGAACTTGCTTCTAGGTTCCTGGGAAACACAAATACATACTGTAAACAGTACACCAATAAGAAACTCCCTCAACAACTGTACAAGTGTGCAATACTTGAGTAGTATGGTAAATCAACCTGAATAACAGTAATACTTACAGTACACCATCACTTCAAGGAATCCCTAACATATGTTTACATGACAATCCAAATAATTGATTTAAGGCTCAGTGTCTGGGTGGCTTTGCACAACCAGAAGTATGCATATTCAATTTTGATAAATACAAGTTAAGGAATATACAAGTACAAAAATGTGGGGAAAAGCTAACTCACAAGTACTGAAATTTGCAGCAAGTCAACCACTTTTCTGCTCTGCATTCTCCAGAGGGCAACATCTGTGCATTGGGTGAATTACACAGTCACATATTAACTTTCAGTTTTTGGACTTTTGGTCTCTGAATCAACATAAGCACATTTGCTTTGATCATTTTAAATGTTAAACATTTGGAAACAGACCTTTCTGCATCAATAACAAACTCCATCAAGAACTCTGCTTAACTGTATGAAACTTCAAGACAGGTAAATCAAGCAGGATAACTGTATGCTTACAGTACACCAACATTTCAAGGATTCCCAGACATTAATTTTTTGAAATTTGAGTCATTTCAAGGATTCCCAGACATTCATTTTTAGAAATTTGAGTCATTACCTGATCAATCCAAGATACTGCTATAAAGCTAAGTGGTTGAGTGGCTTTGCACCACCCCACTGACATGTTTAATTACAAGTGCATGGAGACATTCTGCGGCAATAACAACCAAGAACTGTAAACACCTTCAAGTACAACACCAACATCTGCATATATCTCAGCACCATCCACCCGAATGACGTAGATGCCCATTGTTGTCTGTGCAATCCCCAACTCAGCCTCTGCGCACTCGCTGTCCTGGAGAATAAACAAAGAAAATTAGTTGTGTTAAAAACTTCACAGGGAGTGTTCTCCAAAATAAGTAAAATGGATGTGTCCCACCAAAAAGACTTTGAGAGGCAATCCAAAGCTTAAGTTTTAAAGGATGCACAAGACATGTTTGTTTGGGATTCATTGTCATTGCTTCTTTCAAGCCCTCCCATTTGCTAACCGGTAGTACTACTATGGTTCACACACAAGCTACACAAGCGCTCCAACCACAAGTTACTACACAGTTCTGACAGTATGGCCGCCACAGAGCAGTCACGGCGTACTACTACTCAATCTGAGAGGTTCATCACTTCATCTCCATCCAAACAGTCGCCTATAAAATGGTTGGTGACTGCCGTAATAATTACAAGTCTGGTCATTGTCCAAACCCGGCACATTGGTCATTGAGTGACAACTGCTTCTACATCCCTGCGGCTAGAAGCCAACACGTATTATATTCAAGGATGTTAGTAAATGGCTATCCCACTTCCTCCTCGACTGATAAGAGAAGGAGACACTCCACCAACCAAGGTCTTTCTCAAATAGCATTAATGTTGCTACTAGCCGGTGATATCGAGCTGAACCCGGGTCCGCTCTCCTGGCTACCTGCCAGTCAAGTTGCCAACGTCAGCCACCCAGCACAGCAAAGACTGCCAGCATCACAAGCCAGTGGTGCTAACAGCAAGCCGACAAACATAGCCTTCCAGCTACCTCACTCATGGCTACCAACATTAACGCAGCCGGAGATGAAAAGAATGGTGGACTTACTTCATCTGCCACCCCCTGTGTTCCGATGGGTGTCCCTCCGCTGCAGCAACTTCTGTTAGATGTTGATCCCCTGCGGAGAGGCGGCGAGGCCCAGGGCGCCGGCGGGTCCGGGATGGTAGCCTTCAGGGACATATCGGCCGTTAGCGGGGCCGTGCCTACAGCTCCCAGAAGTACAGCAGCTGATGGTTGGACACCACACAGCTGATGGCCTGTCGCCCAAGCAGCTAACCTCTTCTGTGGGTTCGCATGGGGCCCTTCAAATCCCTCTATGCTCCAGTGAGCCATCAATAACCATGGCTGCCAGCGGAGCTATGTCCTCCATCCCAGGTCCAGCAACCGGTGAGCATCAACATCTCCTGCACCTGAGTGGGGCTTCCACGGTCACCAGTGGGGCCAAGCTTACGGCCCGAGGTCCAGTAGCTGGTGATCTTCAACCGCTCACCCTGCTTGGCAGGGGGACCCAGGCATCCACGGTCGCTGCACCCATGCTCCCAGAACCAACAACTGGTAAACGCCAACAACATGCCACTGGTGCGAAACAATCCCCACACAAAAATCCAGTGATGAAAAGGTACCGGTCCTCAAAACTCTTTCAAACATTAAACCATGCAAGAACAATATGGTACCCGAAATATAAAAACAAGGGGTCTAATCATTGACCGTCAAAAATTTCAATCAGCACGAAATAAAGTAACATTAGCATTACGAAAAACTAAAGCAAACTTCTTCTTAAACATAATTGAGAGTGCAAAGGGAAATTCAAAAAAAGTGTGGAAAGAGATCAATAACTTAACTGGCCGACAGACCAAGCAGAGCCGTAAAGGACTGGAACTAACCATAAAGAATCAATTGGTGAACAATCCTGTCACCTTGGCTGCAGAATTTAATTCTTTTTTTTATAAATTCTGTTCAAGAAATATCAAGTCTGTTCACTGCACATGACTGTGTTTACCATCCTGTCAATTGCGAACAGCCTGTTTTTAACATAACTGAAATCTCTGGTAGAGAGGTAATGAAAATTATTTGCTCTCTTAACAAATCTAATGCCAAGGATGACTATGGATTTAAAACTTCACATGGAGTCACTTGTGTGCCCCATCATTCAGCTGGTAAATCTGTCTATTAGGCATTCTGTTGTCCCAACTAACTGGAAGGTGAGCACGGTGAATCCAATCTACAAATCTGGAAGTAAATCTGAAATCAACAACTATAGACCAATTAGTATTCTTCCTGTTATCTCCAAAATATTGAAAAATTGGTGGCTAAAGAGTTAGTAGAACATCATAATAACGGTTATACAGCATTACACCCGATGCAGTTTGGTTTCCGGACTCACTATTCCACAGAGTCGGCCATAAGTATGTTTGTCGAAAAAACCAAGTGTCTCCTGGATAAGAACAGCTGTGTGGATCCCTCAGGGATCCATACTTGGACCTATCTTGTTTTCTCTTTACATTAATTATTTCTTTGATGTCTGTAAGGGTGTTAATGCACAGTTGTACGCGGATGATGATGATGATGACGGTGATTTTCACCCGTGAAAAACAAGACAGAGGCTGCTCAAATACTTACAACAGCAATGGCTTGTGTTCAGGACTGGCTCTTTAAATGTTAAAAAAAGTGTCTGCATGATTTTTGCTAAAAGGCCGCCAAACATTGATCATTCTGGTGTCTTTCTGGGAGGGGAGGAGCTTGCTTTGGTGAGGGAGTTCAGATACTTGGGAGTCATTCTGGACTCGAATCTGGAATAATCTTCCCTCCACAATAAGGGAATGCCCCACATAATCTTCTTTTAAAGGACAACTAAAACAATGGCTCAAATGCAATCAAAAGTGCGACCACTAATTGGACTTGACACTAATTGAACATTACTTTTTAATACATCGTTATAGCCTGTCTGAGTCTGGTATTTTTATGATTGTGTAATGGTAATGTATTGTGCTGTGTGTGTTGTCTCCTCTATTTGTATTTTATCTATTTATTTGCTGTCTCTTCTATTTGTATTTTTTCTATTTATTTTATTAAGGACTGCGGATGCAAATTAGCTGCTTTGCTATAGTCCGGCATTTTTACAGAGATGTTTTATTATCGATGTTCAATAATGTGCACTGTCCCTATCCAAAAGTAAAGCATTATTATTATTATTTTTTTTTATTATTATTTTATTATTATTATTATTATTATTATTATTATTATTATTATTCTATCCTTGCACCGTCAACTGTTTTATACTTTACCAAGGTCATTTACAGCTGACAAGTTTCTCATCTGGCTCACTAAAAAAAATTAGAATATGCACTTTCTGATTGTATAATAAATGTTTTACATGAGAGAAAAAATGTTGATTGTGTGTATTAAGCTTCTTTAATACAAAGACCATCAAAGGTCTCCAAGAACTAGAAGGTGGTGAATGTTTGGTTATGAAATCACAAACCCATATTTGCTACATTAAATTAATATAAATTGCAAATCAGTTTAACTATTAAAAAAAGAAAGGAGGGGACAAGGATGAAGAGAGAGAAAATTTAAGAATGACAGAAACACACTTACCTTAGCTGTCAATGCCATTATGGCACAAATTTTCTGTCCTGCAGATCCTCCTTTGGCACGGAAAACCTTAATCAGGTCATCAGTGTATCTGTCCAGTTGTCCAATGAATTTGGTATCAGAGGGACAGTTGTTATACGCATGAACTCCAAAGTGACCTGAAACAGAGGAGAAAAGACAGGATATACCTGACTGCAATAAAGATTTAAACACTGAATGCAAGTTGCATCAATGTGTGTGTGTTTGTTGTAAATGGGTTACTACACTTACTTTACCAGTTTAGTTCAAACAGAGCTGGCCATCTGTTTCGGACCTCTGTAATCCTGAAGAATTTCTTGTCGTCTGTACGAGAAGGTACGCTGCATCTTTTCCTTGATCACTGCCTCGTTGTTCTTTTTCTTTACCTCAGTCAATAGAGCAACCCTTTCCACCTCTAGGCTTTCAGTCGTTTCACCTCTTGGATGGCTTGGACAGAAATTAACGTCTGCCTTCCGGCTTCTTTATGTTCGCAGCTGGTTTCCCATGACCTTTCCGTTTGTTCTTAAGTGAGTTGACAATGACTTCTGGGTGTCCAGCTCGGCCAAGCTTGGTGCGGAAGTTCATCATCTTGATCTTAATGTAGTGTTTCCATCCACAATAACCACTGCGAGTTCCTTTCTCACACTAACACGGGTGAGTCTTTACCAAGGCCTCAGCAACTTCTTCAAACTGTTCAATTTCTTGGATATGCTGTGTACCTGATAATTTCTTCTACAAGGCCTTCAAGAATATCAGATCTGACTTTCGGGGTAAGAGAAAGAAGAGTTCCATTTGCATTGAAATCATCATTTCCCTTCTGGAGCACCATCTCAGCACAATATGAAAACCGTGGCACAACAAAGACTTGAGGCCAAGAGCAGGACCGAGACTCAGGAGATGACAAAATGATGGTATCATTGCTGCTATGGGAGTACACAGATGTTGGATCAGTTGGTTGTTGTGATGAGGAACTAGTAGATACATTGGGGGGAGTCGCTGGTATTGTGGACCAGATGTTTGTAGTGGGTGAATCTGAGGAGATCACTGAGCTGGTAGCCTCACAGGGCAAGCATACCACTTTCAAAGTACTTCGATCTTGAATGTCAGAAATTGACACAAGGTTCATAAAATCATTTCCAAAGTCTACATCTTTGTATTGAAGCCTGAACTGCTCTGTCACACCAAAGAAAGTCTTAATTTCAAGAGCCAATTAATACACAGATGTCGGCATTCCAGATTGAATGATTAGTTTTCTTGCATCGTCGTCACCTCCAAAAAGAACTTTGAAGCTAACTGGTTCTGCCATCCTGCTTTATCAATCTAGAGTGAAGACACAAACACACAAAGATGACAATTATTAGTGAGTAAAATTTTAGTGTGTTATGAAATAAAGATGTTCCATAGATTACTAAGATAAAATGTGCTTTTGATTTGGCCTGCTGGAAGTGCTTAACATCAAATTCAAGGATTTTAAGAACTTTCCAGGCCCAGTTCCCTCAAATTCATACACAGCACAGTTTGAGCACTCTCTTCAATTTATCTGAATAAATTGAAGAGAGTGCTGAATGAGAGCCTGGTGGCAAGTTACTCAGAATCCAGTATACACTACATAATTTGTGTTTCTTTCGCGATGTGTCCAGGGGATTACATAGTTCAAAATCATCTACGTATAAAGTTAAACAAATTTTCAACTCATCACCTGACAAGAAAGAGTTTTCTTTGAAGTACACACCATCTCTTATAGGGCTATACTGATGGTTCCCTTGCTGCTGTGTATTACTTCCCTGTAATTTGTGGCTATTGATGACACTATTAAACACTTCAGTACAACCAAATAACTGCTGCAAAGACTGCAACAATGGAATGTATTGAAATGTCCTGCCCTGTTTTTGATGAAGAATGAACTCCACTGGGTCAATAACATTGAACAATTCCTTGAAGTACTCCTTCCTCTTATAAACTGTAGCAAGGGAGCCACCTTTCCCTATTACCTTAACCAAAGGGTTAGATTTACAAAGTACATCAGCTAGTTCCTTGAGAATTAAGCTATCAACTTCTAGGTTTTTGTTTTTGAAGAATTCAGAAAGACTGTTACAAGTTACAGGCACAGACACAGTACTTAACAGGTAGTGTAGTTCATCAAGTAATCCATATATTGCTGTAGATGGAACATGATAAATGTTTTCTAAGTTCAATAAAATTAAAGCTATTTTTTGTTCTACAACTTTTGGAAGGTCCTCTGAAGTATCAACATCACTATCTGCATCTGACAGAGTATCGAAATCTATGTCAGCAGAAGATGACGGATTATCATCTACAAGGCTACCAGATTCGTTAGACTGAGCAGTGACACCTGCTTTAAAATCTTTCAGAGTGTAGGGATTATGTTTACGATTTCTATGAGAGTTAAACGTACCATATATGTTAGTCTGAAATGTACATCCTTCAAACATGCAAGTTATACTTTCATACTGCTTAAGATGCTGGTTTATATGAATAAAGTATTCCTTCTCAGTTGAAAGTTCTTCACATCCACACCTCTGACTTAAGAAGGTAGTTACCTGAGAATGTGCTGTTGGTTTCCTGTGTGTTTGATATGTGTGACTCAAAAGGTTCTTCCAACTTGTGAATGTACATGGACAATCTGGATAGATACATGGATACCGGCGGCCATGGTGGATATGTTTCAACCTAAAATGTTTTAACAATTCATACCTGGTAGATAATGAAATGTTACACACTTTACATGGCCACATTCACATATCTGTGAACAAAGACAAAAACAGTGTTTTAGTTGTAGAGTCATTAACCACTGTCTTTCAGCTGGATGGTTAAACACAGCCAGCACACCCTTTAGACAAAGGGTCATGTAACTCAAATTTGTATGCTTTTTATATTGATTCATCTGAACATCAAAATGAGTTTCACTGTAATATGTCGAGTTTTCTATTTTCTATATCTTTGTAGCCTCCATACTTACAAAAACAAAGAGGTTGCCCCGGCATGCACTTGATGTAAGAGGATGGTTCTTAGAATTATGTACCTGTAAAAGACAAGAAGTTCTAATTAGAAACAAAATGCATTTAATCAATTCTACAACTCCTTCCTTGCTCATGAAATCACAAAGTATCAGTTTTTACATATTTTTAGTAACAGTAGTCATCCATTAGACCAAAATTGTATGCATTTACCGACTACATCAGCTTATGTTTTTGATCATGTAAAGTTTTTATAGTATAGTAGTATTTTAATAGTTATTATAGTCACAGTTGCCCATATTTGTTTTACATTATTCAAAATGGATTATGTTAACCTGCTCTAAAATTGTGAGGCAGTTACAACACAATGAATTTCACAATCAATAACAAACGTTTATTGACACTGAATAATTTGCACATGTAGTTTTTAATATCTTGAAAGTAAGACTTTGTTATGACACAACAGTGTGGCTGCTCTAATCCAATAGCGCGAAATTAATAAAAACAACATACTCCGCCATGCACAGTCACACGCGCTGCAACCTTCCCACCGACTGACCACCGGCACCGTTAAAGTTCAACCGGACGTGTTGCGCTAGTGAGTGGAGCAACACATTGTCTGAACATGAAGTAGGTGGTCAAGTCCGCTGTGGCTGCTTTGAGCCATCTTTGGCTGAGACTCACGGGAAGTCTGCGGTGCAGGGCTAATACATAATAATATAATTAACTGCCCACATGCTTGTGAGAATATCTCATTAAGCACAAAAGTCAGTCGCTCATTTTAAATTAACTAATGAGTCATTTTAATCACTCAAATTAGTCGTGTTGGCTAAACAAAAATAGCTAACTAGCTAGGTTGAGGTTAGCAAGCTACTAGACTACATGAAAATGTTTACAATGATGTAGGCTATATTTGATAGCCGATATATTTATATTAGTGTGATATGATGTGAATTGCACTAATAACTTACAAACACGGATAACTGGCAGGTTATACTAAGACAAATGCACATGTAACTTACCAGTCAGTGCAAGAGCATAAAGTAGTTGCTTCAACTTGCTTGAGCGAAGGTGTGAGCAGCAGAGTAGACAATGGATGTATTGGTGCAGACGGCGGGGAAAAAGTCCTTCTTCTTCTCTAGTGAGTGACTCTGAATTTGAAATTCAAAGGCCGTTGACAAACCAGTTGCATTACTGCCACCTACTGGACTGGAGTGTGGAGCATGGATGTCCTGAAATCTTTACGTAAACCTAATGAAAACCAATCTCATAAATTTAAACTAAATGAATCTTGGTTGAGCCATAGCTCGTCATATTTAAACTATATTCATAGGTTTTAACTGATTAAATTTCATTGGTTTCGCAATTAACAGATTTATGTTGATTTTAAATAATCTGAATAAATAAATTCTTAAAATTGTATTATTTAAATAAAATCAAATAGATGCAAATACTTAAAAAGAAACTATGCCATGATTAATTTTTCTGAGTGTGCGTGGGATTAGAATAAAGTGGGCATATCTGCAAAGGAGACTTGTGGGTACCCATAGAACCTATTGGAGGTACGAGGTCAAGGGATGGCCACCACTACTTTTCGACAAAATGTATTTAGCTCCATTCTGGACATGCTAGCATGACATAGTTGGTACCAATGGATGCGTCAATGGATGCGTCAACAGTCCATCCGAGTGGTCTCCCAGGAGAATTAAAGATCTAGCTGAATGGAGGAATAAAGTGCCATCCAGGAGGAGGATGAACACCAGCCAGGCAACCCAAAAGTTGTATTATAGTCTTATAAGTTATATATATCGGTCAACAAATCAGTGCATCACATTTTTTCTTTAAAAAGTGGAACAGTATTAAACATAAAATTTAACAGCATTTGGTGCTTAACCTTTTAAAAAGCTTTATATCCTTTTTATGAAAATGCTAACCTTCTGCCCTGCTGTACACTCACACAATGTCCAATACAACCACAGTCTGATCTGATGACCTGAGCAACTCCAGTAAAGCAGTGACAGTAAGTTATACTCTTCTGCTTTCCTCAGCCATATTTTAGTTTATTTGTTTATTCAGATCCCCATTAGCTGCTACAGAGGTAGCAACTATTCTTCCTGCAGTCTGATCCAAGCTTAAAGCCACTGCAGCTTTTTCTTGAAACAGAGGATTTAAATCTCAACTGTCATAACAAAAAACTTGATCAATGCCCTACTCTTAAACATGTAAATGTAGTGTATCTTTGTAATGTTCTATTTCTACGACGATGACTTACCGCTATGTCAAAAACATGTCGGGCATCTGCTATGGCCTGTTTGAATGCCGAACTTTCAGTGCACCCGCTGCCTACATGGAAGCTGACCCCAATGACATCCAGGTCCAGCTCCCGAGCACGCCCCAGCAGCTTATCCACTGTCCCCAGTCTGGCTCCAAACTTTGAACTGAGTCTTATCACCGAGCAAGTGTCGTCCACTGCGATGCGGAGTACCAGTCTGGAACGTAATTCACAAATAATTCACAAATAATCAATACTATCAATTTAGACTATACGTAGAATCAAACATTTTAGTAGTTGTTCTCTTACCTGGCTGTAGGATGACAGAAAGAAATTTTTACGAGTTCATCCTCGCTGTCAAAAGTCATCATATTTACTCCATGAGTACGGGCATATTTGATGTGTGACCGTGCTTTGGTTGTGTGTGCATAAATTATTTTATCAGGTGCCACACCGAGGGACAGGGCCAGCTGAATCTCACCCTGTTAGAATGAAACATGTTTCAGATGAGAAGGAAACAACCTTTATCGTAACAGATTGTGGAAAAGACTTTTATGTCTAAAACACTTCACAGTACCTTGCTAGCACAGTCAAAACCTGTGCCCAGAGCAATCATCGTCCTCAAAACCGCTGGTGAGCTGTTGCACTTCAGTGCATAGAAAGGCTTGACTCGAGGTAACGCAGTGAGCCATCTCAGGTGCTTCTTAACCATATCATCTAGATTTGCCACATAGAATGGCTGTTCACTGTCCTGAATGAATAAAGCAAAGTTTACATTTTTTAAAAAAAATACACATCTCATGAATCTCAACTTTCTCACAATACTTTCACATAATTATAGGTTCATAGTCAGGGAAGAATCATGATATCTCTGATACTCACTTTTGAACCAAGTTCCTGTATTTTATTGTCTATGAAATCATTGATGGTCCTTCCATTGTCTAAAATTTCAATGTCACAATTCTCAGGGGACAAAATGTTCAAGACTGGTCCATTTGTAGTTACTGGTGATGCAAGGGATGACAAGCAGTAAAAGACTAAAGCATAAAATAAATACTGTCAGTTTACAATTACAAGTACAAGACAATAAATTCATGTTAGGCTGGATAACAATATGATCAGCTTTTTCTGTGTTTTAAAGCTATTTGTATGAATTAAGACATCCAAATAGTAGTCAAAATCAAAAGAAAAATGTAACAGTAGCATTCATAGGTACACTTGCCTCACATATTACATCACATTTTTTTATTTTTAATTCCTACCACAGGCTGTATGCTCCTCCATATTTGTGGAAATATTTTCAAATGAGTATAAGCATTATAACAGCATTCCCATGCAACAGATACGGAGGTAAGTTTGGACACGAAGTGAAATAAGACAAGATTATGTCCTGGTTTTATTAGCACATCAGTGATGCCACCACACCTACTGCATTAAAACAAACAATACCTTACGTTAATAATGACTTCAAGTAGGTCATGAAGCATAAAACAGAAGATAAAGAAAAGTCTCTGTTTCCCCACAAGCAGCTGAAATTCGTTGAGTTTGTTGCAGAGTCATCATTCTACCTGTGTTTCTTTTTATCTGCCCTTTAGGAATGAAATTGTTGCAAACAATATATGGGGTGAATATCTATACTTTTGGTGATCAATGTAGGATGAGGAATTTTATTTTTCCACACTTTGTTTATTCCATGAACTTTCTTATTTTCTTTTTTGAGTCAATCATGTAAAGTACTCATCACAATAATCTTGCTTGTGAACCAAAAATCTAGTGAACAAAATGTAGATTTTCAAAATAATGAGAAACTTTTTCAATATTTTGACTTTTGACTCTGTTAAACCAATATATTGAGAAAGTTTCTTATCATAATGACTTACAAAATCCTTTTTATGGGCTTTCAAAAGAAGACAGTTTTGTGCAATGGATGAATTTAGTCTATCTGAAATCTCATCATTAGTTTGATCTCAGCCTTAGTCACACTCTATCTTTGTGAAACTAGTCCCTGTTGTTTTAAAGGCCAAGCTTTAATGCCAATGTTATTTTATGATGTTCATGCAACAGGATAAGGTGTAGCCCTTAATAAATTTTCCTGCTTGTTATTCTTTTCTGGCAGACTGCACACTGCCAAAGCTGGTCACACCTCGAAAGCTGCTACACTTTTCTGCACCCCGTAAAAACTGAAATATGGGTAAGTTTGAACTACAATATTCTCTAATATTTGGACTGTTGTCTGCTAAAGTGAATACATAAATATTACATAAATTACACACGTCTATAAAATATACTGATGGAACTGCTGTGATATACATATTTTGTGCTGAGAGGTTTATTTACAGGGTATCCCACTGGTTATACCATTCATTGAGGGTTGACGTTTTTTTCAAGTTTGAGTAACAGCCCCTCAAAATTTCTGTGATGTCCCTGTCAGTGGCACAAATAATCAAACAGTTTGCTTTGCACCCACATCAAAAATTCACCTCACTTTCATATTACATTGGCATTGCTGCTTGGCCTTCAAGACAACAGTAAAGATATAAAGATAGCCTATGATTAATGATGAGATTTCAGATTAAAATTCATCCATTGCACAAAACTGTCTGGTTCTTTCTCAATACTGTTACTTGGTATCTCAAAATAATAACTTAGTATCACAAAGTCATATTTTGAGATGCCAAGTCAAAATATTGAGGACATTTCTAATTATTCTGAGATACTAAGTTACTAATTTGAGATGCTCAGTCAATAGAGAAAACTTTTGATTATATAATTTAACTGATGGGTCCCATCAACAACGGCGATGAGACAACCTACAGGAGTGAGGTGAGCAGGCGGGCCACGTGGTGCAAGGACAACAATCTCCACCTGAATGTGGAGAAGACGAAGGAGATTATTGTGGACTTCAGGAGAGTGCACACCCAGCGTCCTCCACTAACCAACGACGGTGCTGCAGTGGAGAGGGTGAGCAGCACCAAGTTCCTGGGTGTGCACATCTCTGAAGACCTGTCCTGGAGCCACAATACTGCATCACTGGCCAAAAAGCCCAACAGCGCCTGTACTTTCTCTGCAAACTGAGAAGAGCAGGAGCCCCGCCCCCCATCATGCACACCTTCTACAGAGGCACCATTGAGAGCATCTTGACAAGCTGCATCACCATGTGGTACGGCGCCTGCACCGTGTCCTGCCGCAAGACTCTGCAGCGCATAGTGAGAGCAGCTGAGAAGATCATTGGTGCCCCCCCCCCCCGTTTGGACATTTATAACACCCGAATCACCAGTAAAGCAAGGTGACCCCACCCACCCATCTCACAGCCTCTTCAGCCTGCTGCCGTCGGGGGGGTGGACTGCACAGTGGTCCAGGCCAAATCCAGCAGGCTCAAGGACAGTTTCTTCCACCAGGCTGTCAGGAGACTCAACTCCCTCCCTGCTCTACCATCACTCCCTCCCCACTCTGCCCCCTGCCACAGACTAGGACTGCACCCCCCCCCCAACACCACTCACACACTCTGGGACTGCACATTTCACTTTCCCGTTATTTGCACTACACCGCAATACCGCACCTGTTTAAATACTTATTTATTTATTCTATTTTATTTCATCATGTAAATACTCATCCTGTAAATATTCAAGTGCCTTGATTCTGATTGTTGATTGTTTATTTTATGTCTTGTTGATAGTTGATTGTTTATTTTTATGTCTTGTTAAATTGTTGATTGTCTATTTTATGTCTTTTCTATTTTTCTATTGGATGTTTGCACCGTGGGTCCAAGAGGACTGAAATTTAATTTGTGCTGTATGTCGTGCATGTATAGCACATCTGACAATAAAGCTGACTTGACTTGACTTGACTTAAAGAATCTTTTGTCATATTGGTGGAAATAGGCTTCCATAGGTATTTGACTCTTTTAAATAGGACTTATTTGGCACAAATATTAAAATCTCAGCACAGTGCACCAGCTGTTTGTATTCAAAGTTAGCCTGTGTATGATATCGCCCTCTCGGTTTATTTTTGCTTTCCAAAGGACATTATCAATTATTAAAATGGCTCCTTTGGCTTAACCTACACCCAAAGTATGGCAAACTCATCTTTTTTATCAACAAAAGCTTTAGGTGCAGCTGTTCTTTTGGAGAAAAGATAGATAGAAAGATAGATAGATAGATAAAATACAATAGAATAAAATACAGCAATAAAATAAAATACTTAGATAGAAAATATGAAAAAAGATATAAAGGTAGGTAAGGTGCAAAGTTTTTAGTTTGTAGTTGCAAGATGGTGGTAATAATACTGATGACATGATGGTAGTGTTATTGTTAATAACAATGTATAATAATAAAAGTATATAATGATAATATTAATAATATTTATAATAATATAATAATAATATGTATATATAATATGATGACTGAACACATATACATGTATACACATAGATATTATACATTAGTATTGATATAATGTAAACATGTGTCATATATTCAGCCTGTGCAAGGTTTATTTAATAATAATAATAATAATAATAATAATTGTAATATATAACATATAATAATAACAATAATACTAATAACAAAATAATATTATTAATATAATAATAATATATTGTATAAATATGATATATAATATCAACATGGTTTATATTAACACATATTATAGTATATGATGAAGTATTTGTTCCACAGGTAGATTTAGTCCAGTTCTGTAATTGTGGATCTGACAGAGGCAGATGAGTTATACAGACTTATAACAGTGGGGAGGAACAATTTTCTGTATCGTTCCTTAGAGCAGCGTGGTGGAATGAGTCTGCTGATGAGGCTGCTCTTTAGATTGTCCAGTGTTGTGTGGAGGGGATGGGAGGGATTGCTGGGATTGCCAGCAGTTTTGCCAGCATCCTCTCCTCCACCACCTCCTCCAGGGTGACAAGCTTCAAGCCAACAACAGACTCAGCCTTCTTAATGAGTTTGTTCAGTCTGTTGGCATCCTTTGCCTTGATGCCCGTACCCCAGGACACCGCAGCAAAGAAGATGGTGCTCGTCACAACAGACTGATAAAACATCTGCAACATCCTGTTGCAGACATTGAAGGTCCTGAGCCTCCTCAGGAAGTAAAGACGGCTCAGGCACTTCTTGTAAACGGCCAAGTACTTATACACCGACACCATATCCACATCGGTCCTGCCGATGCTGACAGGAGAGGGCAGGGGCTTGTTCCTCCTAAAATCCACCACCATCTCCTTTGTTTTGGCCACGTTCAGCTGCAGGTGGTTCTACCCACATGACTTCACAAAGCACTCAACCAGGTCCCTGTACTCAGCCTCCCTCCCACCCTCAACACACCCCACAATAGCCGTGTCATCAGAGAATTTCTGCAGATGACACGACTCAGTGCAGTACTTAAAGTTTGCAGTGTAGATGGTGAAGAGGAAGGGAGTTTCCTGGGGAGGCCCGATGTTACTAATCAGACAGTCAGACACACAATTCTTTAATCTCACAAACTGTGGTCTGCCCGTCAGATAGTCATGGACCCATGTGATGAGGGGAGCACTCACCTGCATGTTCTCCAGTTTGGCCTTCAGCAGTCCGGGCTGGATGGTGTTGAAGGCGCTGGAAAAATCAAAGAACATGACACGGACTGAGGTGTTGGGTCTGTCTAGTGAGGAGTAAGCCTTCTGCAGCAGGTAGATCAGGGCATCATCAACCCCCACATGGGGCTGATATGCGAACTGCAGGGGGTCTTGCGATTGCGCACACTAGTGGTCTGAGGTTTGCCAGGACCAGTCTCTCCATGACCATCATGATGTGAGAGGTCAGTGCAACCGGCCTGTAGTCCTCCAGTGCCACAGGACGTCCTTTGTTGGGCACTGGGACCAGGCAGGATGTTTTCCAGAGCACTGGCACTCGCTGAAGGTGCAGACTGAGGTTGAAGAGGTGCTGGAAAACTCCACAGAGCTGGCTGGAACATGCCTTCAATACACCAGAGCTGATGCGGTCCAATCCAGAAGCTTTCCTCTGTTTGAGCCTTTCCAGCTCTCTCCTCACCTGGCTGGATGTGATGTGAAGTCCAGATTGGAGGGTGGGGTATGTGGCAGGGTCTGCGATGGGTGTCAGCAGTAGGTTTGGGGGTGGGGATGACAATGGTGATGCAGAGAGGTGTCTGCTGCAGGAGGTGGCAGGGGGCTGTGGGAGATGTGAGGATGTCTTGACTGGTTTAAATCCTACCTCACAGGCCACACTCAGTTCATCCAACTCCAATCCTGCAGTTCCAACCCATCCCCCGTCACCACTGGTGTGCCCCAGGGCTCTGTCCTGGGGCCCCTTCTCTTCATCATCTACCTCCTTCCCCTTGGCAATGTCTTTCGCAAATACAACATCCATTTTCACTGCTACGAGGATGACACCCAGCTCTACCTCTCCAGCAAACCCAATTCCACTCTCCCACCTTCCTCCCTTACTGACTGCTTCACCGAGCTCAAATCCTGGTTCTCCTCCAACTTCCTCAAACTAAACAGTGATAAAACAGAATTTCTTCTCATTGGCACTAAATCAGCCCTCTCAAAAGCTGACAGTTTTTCCCTCACCATCGACCACTCCTCTGTCTCCCCCTCCCCCAAGTTAAGAGTCTGGGTGTCTTCCTTGACAGCACATTATCGTTCCAATCCCATATCAATAACATCACCCGGTCGGCATATTTCCACCTACGCAATATTAATCGGCTCCGCCCCTCCCTTTCTCCCCACTCCACTGCCATTCTTGTACACAGCCTTGTCACCTCCCGCATCAACTACTGCAACTCCCTTCTCTTCGGCCTACCTCACAAATACCTCCATAAACTTCAACTGGTTCAGAACTCTGCAGCTCGAATCATCACCAGAACCCCCTCCATCCACCACATCACCCCTGTTCTACAGCAACTCCACTGGCTCCCGGTCAAACTTCGCATAAACTTCAAAATCCTCCTGTTTACGTTCAAGGCCATCCACAACCTTTCCCCTCCTTATCTGTCCGAACTACTCCACATCGCCACCCCTTCCCGTTCCCTCAGATCTGCCTCCTCTGTCCACCTCTCTGTCCCTCCCGCCCGCCTCGTCACCATGGGGAGCAGGGCTCTCAGCCGCTCCGCCCCCCAACTCTGGAACTCACTCCCAGGAACCTGGACTCTCTCACACTCTCGTTGGCTCGTTGTTCGTTCCCCCCAGCTGCTCCCCCTCCCCTCAGAAAGCTGGTGATCTCTTTCATCTCACTCCACAATTACCTGGTGTTGCTGTCTTCCAGTTTGTCTTCCAGTTTTCTCCTTTAGTTGTCCTTGCTCTCACTGATGCTGCGTTTGAGCTTTCTTTGTACCTTTTTGAATTCTGCTCGGTCCCCTGATCTTAAGGCCCTCTTCTTCTCGTTGACAAGGGCCTTCAGGTCGCTAGTTACCCACGGTTTGTTGTTTGGATAACAGCGGACCTTTTTAGTGGGGATGGTGTTTTCTATGCAGAACCCAGTGTATTCAGAGACACAGTCAGTTAGGCCATCAATATCCTCCCCGTGTGGCTCATACAGAGCATCCCAGTCAGTGGCCTCCAGTGCTCCGCGCAGTGTTTCCATGGCCTCTGGAGACCATTTCCTCACTGTCTTCACTGTGACCGGGTGCTGCTGAACCACAGGCTTGTATGATGGTGAGAGCCGGACTAGGTTGTGGTCAGACCTGCCTAGTGGTGGCAGGGCAGTGGAGCTGTACGCATCTTTAACATTTGCGTACAGCAGGTCCAAGGTCTTATTGTTTCTGGTGGTGCGTGTGACAAACTGGTAGAAGGTTGGGAGTGTGGATGAAAGAGAAACATGATTGAAGTCCCCTGTGATGATGATCAAGGCCCAAGGGTGTTTTGTTTGAAGTCCTGCAGTCACAGCATGGATGACGTCACACGCTGCTTCTGCTTTCCCAGACGGAGGAATGTAAACAGTGATGGCGATAACACTGAAAAACTCCCTCGGCAAATAAAATGGACGTAGTCCGACGGCGACAAGCTCGATGTCCGAAAATATATACAGTTTGTTTAATACTAACGTGATAGTGAATTCAACAGAATGGATCTCAGCTGAACTTGAACACCAAACAGATGGTAACATGCACTTTCACAAAGACCTCTACAAGGTCACGTTGCACATTATTGTCTTATTATTCTGCAGGCTACAGTCTATACTGTATGTTAGCAAGATTGGTTTTCTATCAGTCTCAGCTTTGACTTCAGGGTTTTGTGTTTGTTTACCCTTCCCCCTGCTTCCTTTGTGTGCCCTGTCTCATATCAAACCCGATGCTAGGGTATTATTAGCCACATGTGACTGAATAGAAATTATGATAAATGATGTAAAGATCAGAGATTTAGAGAAGATTTACTGTGAAAAATATGGCCCTACCATAAAACAGTGTGTTAACCTTAATAATTCCCATAAACTGGGCTGACCTACCTTATTATAATGAACCTGCATAAAGTAACGTAGGAAGTGGACATAAGAACCCACCTGTTTTCTACTTCTGTCGTCTCGTAGTAAAGGGTTGTTCAGTAACAGCGGTTCGACTTCGCCACAGCAATTTATTTAGAGTAAGGTCACACTGACTTACTGAACGACAGAAACCGTGTCAGATATCTAAAATATGAGATTCAGTGAGGTAGTTGTATGTAAGGTCTGTCCACTTTGAAAGACGTAGACTGAAAGCAAACTTGTCAACCCTCATTTCTGCATTTTTTATATATACCGACACCAATCGTTGGCAATGACACAACATAGTTGTTTGGCTTGCTGGCCATGGAGTTTGACTCCTAAATGCAAAAGAGCAATAAAGTATTCTTATTTTATGCTATTAAATTGGCAAAGACCATGGAATTTACAATTACCGCCAGTTAACGTTAGAGAGGCTGCTTTCACCCAAATGGGGACGGGGGCTCTCATCTATTAAAAACTGATTGACAACTGATTCAGGCACCGTAAGCCTCTGATTGGCCAAATAAAAAAAATATTGACACGACTCTATTAACGAAGGCACACAAGAATGCGCATAAACATTACAACCGACATCCTTGCATAGGAACACATATTAATCAGTCCACAAGCACTTGACAAAGTGATTTTTAAGTTACGTTATGTAAAATGCTTCAGAGTGTTACATATGGGGCCTTTAAAATGCGATACTTTTCTCGCTGTGATGACTCTGTTTGCCTTGCAGATAATGGACAGAAAAAATCAACATTAGCTTTACTATGTCAACAAAAATATAAGGTCAGTGATATGTGTATATGTTTGCCAATGAGAGCCATCTATCTGTCTAAATCACTAGTCAAATATTTGATGGCTGGTATTCTCTGGGACTTTGTGCTGCATCAGCTGTATTGGTACACACTGTGCATACACTATCAATTGATGAAGGATATGAGGATGTCTTTATGTGGATACATTTTAAATAACTTAAAAAAAGCAACAAGCTAAACTGATCCTATATGAATATTGATATTTCTTAGTATTATTTGAATAATTAGATGCAATAAACATCAAATTGATGTGAATGATAAATCATTTTCCTTGGTGTACTGAGTGGTCTCCTAAATATGTCATTTTGGTGATATGTATATAAAATGAGCCACCACACAGCTTTCCAGGGGATTTTTTTTATTGTTTGCTGTATTGATGTATGATATTCTTCTTTTAACGATTAACTTTAATGATTGAGACGCTGCTTTCAGTCATTTTAAACGTCTCAATTAAGGGAAAGATGGTTCACCCTATTTCACCCACCCACAACCCTTCTGCAATTAATCACATTGTTAATTTACTAAATACTGTATGTAAAGCATGTTGCTTGGCAGCAACTGCCTATGTACCTCCTTCAAACTACATTTTTGTTTTAATCTGTATTTTTTCTGCCATATTGCCAAAAACACAATGGAATGATGTCTGATTGGATTATGCATCAGGAGATTCTGGTTCTGGAAACAGCCTCACATTCTGTTGTGCTGTGGCAAAAATAGCGGACCTTGTGATGATCCTCCCAGCTACACCACAGTGGGTGCTGTGATTGCCCCAGGAGGAGAGACATAGAGCAATAGAATAATGCTGGCCCAGCTGCTCCTGGCTAATGTCTGGTCTAGATGAAATGGGGCTCAGGCTGGCCAAACAACAGGAATTGAGAGACTTTTGTACTCCCATTTGTACAGAGACCTGCACCATGACATCCTGGATCCTTGCGAGGCGACATTTTTTTACATGAAAACCATATTTTCATCCCTATTTAGTTGCTGCCGTTTACATTTCCCCAAACATACATGTATGTACATAAATAATTGTAGCTATTGCTTTATGTTATTTTATTTTATATGATATTCTAATATAAAGGTAATTTTCTTTTTCTGTGTGTAGCATGAAGGGACTACAAACTTTCATTTCATTAAACAATTAGTTATCAATCAAAAAATCAAGGAAATGTAATTATCATTCTACAACACAAGGTTGAACGAACAAACACCCATAGAAAATTATAATTAAATGTATAGAATAACATTAAAATAAAATAAAATAAACCAATTTGTACAGATAATTATATACATATATACATACACGTATACATGCGGGAAATTATGTTGCAGTCCATCTTTGTGAACACACAAACACAGTACCCACTTCATTAGGTACACCTGTACAATCTAATGCAGTCCAATAATAAGTGTTTAGCTATAAACTCTACTTTTATGATACCTAGGATTTGGTTTGGTGACACTGTCCTAGAGGTGTTAACTCAATTACATATTCTAGCATTGAGGTAAATATTAAGGTTGTTATTATTGTTTGTTTGAACCCAGTAGGTGGGGGAAAGTCACAGATATGCTAACAAACACAGTAGGTGTGGAAAAGTGACTAGTGTGCTAAGAAAACAAGCATCATTCTGTCTTATTTCACTCTGGACCTGTGTCCAAACGTACGTACCTCAAACTCTGTTGCATGGGAATGCTGTTACAATGCTCATACTCATTTGAAAATATTTCCACAAATATGGAGGAGCATACAGCCTGTGGTAGGAAAAATCTTTTAAAAAATTGTTTAATGTGATGTAATATGTGAGGCAAGTGTACCTATGAATGCTATTGTTCAATTTTTCTTTTGATTTTGACTACTATTTGGATGTCTTAATTCATACAAATAGCTTTAAAACACAGAAAAAGCTGATCATATTGTTATCCAGACTAACATGAATTTATTGTCTTGTACTTGTAATTGTAAACTGACAGTATTTATTTTATGCTTTAGTCTTTTACTGCTTGTCATCCCTTGCATCACCAGTAACTACAAATGGACAAGTCTTGAACATTTTGTCCCCTGAGAATTGTGACATTGAAATTTTAGACAATGGAAGGACCATCAATGATTTCATAGACAATAAAATAGAGGAACTTGGTTCAAAGGTGAGTATCAGAGATATCATGATTCTTCCCTGACTATGAACCTATAATTATGTGAAAGTATTGTGAGAAAGTTGAGATTCATGAGATGTGTATTTTTAAAATAAAATGTAAACTTTGCTTTATTCATTCAGGACAGTGAACAGCCATTCTATGTGGCAAATCTAGATGATATGGTTAAGAAGCACCTGAGATGGCTCACTACATTACCTCGAGTCAAGCCTTTCTATGCACTGAAGTGCAACAGCTCACCAGCGGTTTTGAGGACGATGATTGCTCTGGGCACAGGTTTTGACTGTGCTAGCAAGGTACTGTGAAGTGTTTTAGACATAAAGTCTTTTCCACAATCTGTTACGATAAAGGTTGTTTCCTTCTCATCTGAAACATGTTTCATTCTAACAGGGTGAGATTCAGCTGGCCCTGTCCCTCGGTGTGGCACCTGATAAAATCATTTATGCACACACAACCAAAGCACGGTCGCACATCAAATATGCCCGTACTCATGGAGTAAATATGATGACTTTTGACAGCGAGGATGAACTCGTAAAAATTTCTTTCTGTCATCCTACAGCCAGGTAAGAGAACAACTACTAAAATGTTTGATTCTACGTATAGTCTAAATTGATAGTATTGATTATTTGTGAATTATTTGTGAATTACGTTCCAGACTGGTACTCCGCATCGCAGTGGACGACACTTGCTCGGTGATAAGACTCAGTTCAAAGTTTGGAGCCAGACTGGGGACAGTGAATAAGCTGCTGGGGCGTGCTCGGGAGCTGGACCTGGATGTCATTGGGGTCAGCTTCCATGCAGGCAGCGGGTGCACTGAAAGTTCGGCATTCAAACAGGCCATAGCAGATGCCCGACATGTTTTTGACATAGCGGTAAGTCATCGTCGTAGAAATAGAACATTACAAAGATACACTACATTTACATGTTTAAGAGTAGGGCATTGATCAAGTTTTTTGTTATGACAGTTGAGATTTAAATCCTCTGTTTCAAGAAAAAGCTGCAGTGGCTTTAAGCTTGGATCAGACTGCAGGAAGAATAGTTGCTACCTCTGTAGCAGCTAATGGGGATCTGAATAAACAAATAAACTAAAATATGGCTGAGGAAAGCAGAAGAGTATAACTTACTGTCACTGCTTTACTGGAGTTGCTCAGGTCATCAGATCAGACTGTGGTTGTATTGGACATTGTGTGAGTGTACAGCAGGGCAGAAGGTTAGCATTTTCCTAAAAAGGATATAAAGATTTTTAAAAGGTTAAGCACCAAATGCTGTTAAATTTTATGCTTAATACTGTTCCACTTTTTAAAGAAAAAATGTGATGCACTGATTTGTTGACCGATATATATAACTTATAAGACTATAATACAACTTTTGGGTTGCCTGGCTGGTGTTCATCCTCCTCCTGGATGGCACTTTATTCCTCCATTCAGCTAGATCTTTAATTCTCCTGGGAGACCACTCGGATGGACTGTTGACACATCCATTGACGCATCCAGTGGTACCAACTATGTCATGCTAGCATGTCCAGAATGGAGCTAAATACATTTTGTCGAAAATTTTCCTAAAGATATTTAAAAGGTTTACCACCATATACTGTTAAATGTTATGTTTGCTACTTTTAGGTTAATTTTTTCTTTTTAAAGAAAAAATATGACACACTGATTTGTTGACTGATCAATTGACATTGTAGTACCACTGCCAAGTAAAGCACTCCTTAAAAAGAGTTCATAATTTGCAACAAATTACTATTAATGAGCAGTTACTTCTTCACTAATACAGTTATAACTTATAAGACAATACGACTTTTGGGTCGCCTGGCTGGTGTTTATCCTACTCCACAATGACACTTTGTTTATCCATTCAGCTAGGTCTTTAATTCTCCTGGGAGACCACTTGGATGGACTCTTGATGCATCCATTGATGCATCCATTGGTACCAACCATGTCATACTAGCATGTCGGGAAGGGGGGCTAATACAGCTCCAAAGTTGGGACATTGTTGTATAGATGTTTTATTTTTACAGTGACGTGTGTATTTGAATTTTTCTGCATACTAAACAGTAATATTAATGGAATGAAGCCTGAGAGCTAGTCCAGGCAGTCAACTCAAGCTGCACTGATATACACACATGACATGCCTCACTCCATAATCTCCAATTTATTGGAACCTATTCAAACTGCACAATTTCCCAGCTCTCCCTCTGCTCTGTCAATGTCGTTGTTGCCCTGCATCTGTATTGCTGCGGCTGCACTGTAAGCCCCACCACCACCCCAGCATCCACCTGTAGGCTCCAGCAGGGGGTTTAAGGTATTTGCTCATCACTCCCCAATATCTCTATGTAAACATATCTGCGGGGAATGATGAGGTCAGAGCCTAGACGCCAAAATCTAAGTATGCTATACTGCTGTAATAAACATTTCAAATGTGAGTTGTCTGACTGAACTACTATAATAATAATAATAATAATACTAAACAGTATTGGAATTGCATGAATTGGGAATTACATGCGTCATGCCACCCCACCACAGTTAACGGTCCAGTGTGTAAGATTTAGTGGCATCTAGCGGTGAAGATAAAGATTGAAACCAACTGAATACCACTCACCTTCCAAGCAAGTAGGAGAAACTATGGTGGCCGCAAAACTCACAGAAGGCCCCATCTACAGCCAGTGTTTGGTTTGTCGGTTAAGGGCTACTGTAGGATCATGGTAGTTCAACATGGTGGACACTGTAGAACCCGCTCCCTCTGTAGATAAAAACAATTCATTCTAAGTTCACAAAAACACAACAACACTAATGACAACATACCTGTGAATATTATCCCTCTGAATGTTACACACTGGTTTGAGCTTGTCACAAACACTTCTCTCCATATCCCAACTTTGACACCCTTGGTAAACGGTGCCTTACTATAAAGTGGTACTGATATGTTTTTCAGAATAAGTTGGGATTCCAGATGACTCTCTTGGACATTGGTGGAGGGTTCACTGGGAGAAATGACTTCAAAGTCACATTTGAAGAGGTAAAATAAAGAACACACGTTTATTGTTGTAATTCATTGTAATGACTCAAATAACTAGTTTTAAGTGTCAAGTCTTGTTTAAATTCAAATAAATATTACAGTTAGAGGAAAGCTGTATTCAGTAGACATTTTTAATAGCAGCCTTATGGAATAGTAGGGTAAACATAACACAGGTAAGTGTTACCAATTAAGGTTACATTTCTTACAGATCAAACAGAATCAGAAGCATGTTGACTTACTGGAAAGGCTTTGCTACACTAAATGAAGCGAAGCCTTAAGTAGTATCATTAGTAACACCTCTATTTACTCCACTATTTCATGTCAGAATGGCTGCTGTGAAAAAGGTCTATTTGGAAAACAGAAAGCTGTGGTGAGAACAGCCAAGCATGCCACGAAAGCGAGCTTATGCACAGTGTCAGATAATTGCTGACCAATGTTGTGAGCAAGTCCTGTCCTATAGCATCAAGTAAAACTCCTCGACAGTGATTTCTTTAAAAGAGGAAACCCAACTTTAATGACATGGATCATACTTCATAGAAACACATGCAGAAACCTTACCTTATGTTGACTGTAATATCAGTGATACTGGTTGCATTTAGGTGTCAGGGAATGTCTGAAATATTATTAGATGTCATACCTGGGATATATGTTATTATGCTATTGTGTTTTGCCTTCCTAGGTTTCAGAAGTCATTAATGGAGCACTGGATGAATACTTCCCCTCTGACAGTGAAGTGGAGATCATCGCTGAGCCAGGCCGATACTATGTGGAATCATCCTTTACACTGGCAGCGAACATCATTGCCAAAAGAGTCATCCTAGATGATACAGAACACAGTGGTAATGTATAGATCTGTTCTCTATCCAGTATCAATACATAGATGTCAGAACTATACAAAGTGCAGTTTCATTTATATGTATCTTGATTTAAAATAAAAGAGGGGTGGGTGACCGGTGATCAGATGTGTCTGGTCAGTACACTACTACATATTCAGTAACCCAGCCTCTGAGTAGTTACTCACTTTGATCTGTGTTGAGGACCATAGATAAAAAGGAACTTTTTCCTATTATTTTCAACATCTTTAAAATTGCATATTTGATAGATCTAGTTGCCATTTTAGTAACTTTTATTACTTTGTGTGCATTTTTTCCAGACATTGTGGAAAACAGCCGGGACAGAACGATGATGTACTACCTTAATGATGGACTGTACGGTTCCCTGAGTCCCATCGTCGATGAACCTTCTTACTACAAGTTTGAACCATACTGTCACAGGGTAAACATTGACCCTGTAGCCACATTAGATGATTCTGCAAAATCTTATTTAAATCCAATGCCAATGATTTAATATTCTTGTTTTTCACAGTATCTGAGAATAGTTAAAACTGCAGTATGTCATTTTTATAAAAAAATGTTTTTTCATATTTGCTGAAACTTGCACTATATCCTGACAGTAGTACATGAAACAGATAATCTGTGAAAAACAGGTTCCTCTGCCTCCTCCTAGTGCTCCTTATGGCATTTGCAAGAATTCAGGGGGCCTGAACAAAAACAACCAATCAGAGCCGAGAAGGAGTGCCAGAGGAACCTGATTTTTTCACAGATTATCTGTCTCATATACTTCTGTCAGGATATAGTGAAAGTTTCAGCAAATATGAAAGAAATATTTTCATAAAAATGACCTACTGCAGCTTTAAAGTTAGGTCAATACCATGGTTATAGCAATGGTACAACAATCTATGGTAAAGGTATGGTCAGGGTGAGGCAACAAATTGTTATGGTAAGGGTAATATTGTGGTTATGGTTAATAGAAAGGCATTATTGCAGGTCTGTGACAGAGCGCATGGAAGTTAGACTGCAACCTCCACAAGCTTATTGTCAGCCTGAAGAGGATGCTACTTCCTGCATTGAGTGCCTTAGTGTTGACATGGACTTAAATCTTGAGGTGTGGAATTGTTCAATATGGACGTCATTTCTTAGTATACTGGGCTATGAATTATGCACAATGACCCAACCTGATATCACCATCATGTTCAGTAATTTAAAATTATTTGAAATTAAACATTGTAAAATGGGATTGAAACAAATAGACTGTAGTAGAATATGAGAACCAGTGTGATGCAGGTTTTATATTTCAATGTTTGTGCTCTATGCAGGCTGTTAAGAGCAGTGAGCAGAAGTACCAGTCTATCATCTGGGGTCCAACCTGCGACAGCACTGATAAACTAACTGACGACTACTGGCTTCCTGAGTTGCACGTGGGGGACTGGCTTCTCATCGACAACTCGGGTGCTTACACTGTTAGTTTATGCACTGAATACTGTGGTTTTGAAAGAACACGCATTTACCTTGTTGTGACAGCTGAAACATGGCACGCCTTAAACCTTTCTCACATTTAAAACATTATCTGTTAATAACGTGGTAACACTTCTCTCTCAGTATATAAGGTGCTACTGAATTGTATGAAGAACACAAAAGATAAGCATAAATATAATAAATACATGCAGAAATGAATAACTAAATACATAAAAGAAGGAAAAATAAATACATTTGTGTAATATAAATGGCTATTTCTGTTTTTTTAACATTTATTTATTTTAATGTGAATTCATTTATTCAATTATAAGTTTATTTATTTATTTATTTATTTATTTATGTATTTCTAAATATATTCATTGGATTATTTTTGTGCCTGTATGTCAACTGAGTGGTTGGTACACTCTAAGAAATAAAATGTTGTATTTACTTAACTGAGTTATGTCAACCGGTCCCACTAAACTGTGTTGTTTATATAGGAAAAGCAATGTATTATTAATGTTTACAACACATTTTAAGTAATTCCAATTTAATTATGTTACTTTAAAGCTAGGTGACATTGCTACATTGCATAACCACAACAACATTATGTTGGATTTACAGAGACTATGTTCACTTAACTTAATATGATTGAGGTCAATTTACTTAATACAAATGAACAATATTAATGTGATAGGTTTGTGTTAATCATGCAACACCTTGTGCTGTTTAAATAAATAAGTCAAATAAATACAACTTAAGTTGCTGAAATTCACTTAAGCCTTTATTATATTCAGGTCTGCAAACAGTGGGACTATTACGAATAAAGTCACGTCTGTAATATGTATGTGTATACACACATTCACAATAACTGAAACTGTATAATGCGTATAATCTTACTGTTTTAACCCCACACCTGAATCATTTTGTTTTGTTTTGACAAAACAAGCATCAACCTTCAACAGTAAAATGTACACAGAAGTAAATGTGAACAATATTAAATGCCTATTTGTTCAACCAACTAAATTTAAGGCATGTTGACATAACTTCAACATGACCAAAATTGTTAAACATTTGGTTTATTATGTACTGTACTGGTACTGACCTCGTTCTATCATATGGCATTGATATTGAACATTTAATAGTCTTCCCACATAATCCTTTCTATCTGACCATTATTTAATAACTTTTGAATTCATACTATCAGATGATAAGCCTTCAGGCAAAATGTCCTACAGCAGATGTCTATCTGACAGTGCTGTAGCTAAATTTAAGGAGGAGATTCCATCAGGGTTTAATTCAATGCCATGTCTGAATATAACAGAGTCCTATAACAACTTTAGTCCCTCCGAAATTTATGATCTTGTTGATAGTGCTGCTGGCTCACTACGAAGAACATTAGACTCTATCGCTCCTATAAAAAGGAAATTCTTAAAACATAGGAGACTAGCACCGTGGTACAACCACCAAACCCGCCAGTTAAAGCAAATAGCTAGGAAATCTGAAAGGAAATGGCGCTCTTCCAAATTATCAGAATATCACTCAATTTGGCAAGATAATCTTAAAACTTATCGAAAGGCCCTCCGTAATGCCAGAGGAGCCTATTACTCAGCACTAATAGAAGAAAATAAGAATAACCCCAGGTTCCTCTTCAGCACTGTAGCCAGGCTGACAGAGAGTCACAGCTCTATTGAGCCACATATCCCCATAAACTTAAGTAGCAATGACTTCATGAGCTTCTTTTATAATAAAATCATTACTATTAGAGAGAAAATAAATCACCAACTGCCATCAACAGTTATTAGTGGCTCTCCAAGTTCAGGAACTTTAACTAATGTAAACTCAGATATATATTTAGACTGTTTTTCTGCTATCAATCTTTATCAGTTAACTTCAATAATTTCTACATTCAAGCCATCAACCTGTCTGTTAGACCCGATCCCAACTAGGCTGCTTAAAGAAGTTGTACCCTTAATTGGCACTTTACTTTACTGGATATGATTAATCTTTCTTTATTATCAGGATATGTACCACAGTCCTTTAAAGTAGCTGTAATTAAACCCCTTCTTAAAAAGCCCACTCTTGACCCAGGGGCTTTAGTCAATTATAGACCGATTTCTAACCTCCCCTTCCTCTCTAAGATTCTGGAGAAAGTAGTCGCCAAAGAGTTGTGTGACTTTTTACGTAACAATAGTTTATTTGAGGATTTTCAGTCAGGATTTAGAGTCCATCATAGCACAGAGACAGCTCTGGTTAAAGTTAATAATGACCTTTTGATTGCTTCAGACAATGGACTTGTCTCTGTACTTGTATTATTAGATCTTAGTGCTGCATTTGACACTATTGACCATAATATTCTTTTACAGAGACTTGAGCATCAAATTGGCATTAAAGGAACTGCACTAAGCTGGTTTAAGTCATACTTATCAGATCGTTCTCAGTTTGTACATGTTAACGATGAATCATCAATAAATACTAAAGTTAGTCATGGAGTTCCACAAGGTTCTGTACTTGGACCAATACTATTTACTTTATATATGCTCCCTTTAGGCAACATTATTAGAAATCTCTCCATTAACTTTCACTGTTATGCAGATCATACGCAATTATATCTATCAATCAAGCCCGACGGAATTAGTCAATTATCTAAATTATAAACATGTCTTAAGGACATAAAGTCCTGGATGAGCTGCAATTTTCTGATGTTAAACTCAGAAGAAAACAAAATTCTTGTTCTTGGCCCCAAAAACCTTGGAGACTCACTGTCTAAAGATATAGTTACTCTAGATGGCATTACCTTGGCCTCTAGCACCACTGTCAGGAATCTTGGAGTTATCTTTGATCAGGATTTGTCATTTAAATCCCACATAAAGCAAACCTAATTTACATAATATTACAAAAATTAGACACATCCTATCACAGACAGATGCAGAAAAACTAATCCATGCATTTGTTACTTCAAGGCTGGATTACTGCAACTCTTTATTATCAGGCTGCCCCAATATGTCCATTAAAACGCTCCAATTAATTAAAAACGCTGCAGCACGAGTGCTGACAGGAACTAGAAAAAGAGATCACATCTCTCCTGTACTAGCTTCTCTGCATTGGTTCCCTGTAAAATTTAGAATAGAATTTAAAATCCTCCTCCTCACCTACAAAGCTCTTCATGGCCAGGCCCCTTCATATCTTAAAGAGCTCATAGTACCCTATTACCCCTCTAGAACACTACGTTCTCTGAATGCTGGGCTACTTCCTATAGTCTCTAAAAGTAGAACAGAAGCCAGAGCCTTCAGCTACCAAGCTCCTCTCCTGTGGAACCAGCTTCCAGTTGTGGTTCGGGAGGCAGACGCCCTCACCACATTCAAGAGTAGGCTTAAGACATTACTCTTTGATAAAGCTTATAGTTAGGGCTGGATCAGGTGAGTCCTGAACCATCCCTTAGTTATGCTGCTATAGGCCTAGACTATCGGGGGATTTCCCATGGTGCACTGAGCTCTTCTCTTCCTCTCTCTCTCTTTCTGCACTCATTCATGTCCCATTAATGCATGTTACTAACTTCACTTCTTCCCCGGAGTTCTTGTGCTTTCTCGTCTCGCAGGTTCTTATCGATCCTGGTGAAGCCTCCTGCCATGGACCTGCTTGACTGCCATTGCCAATACTGTTGTTGCTGTGCACCTGTCTGTCCGTCTGTCTCTCTCTCTCTCTCTCTCTCACCCCACCTGGTCGAGGCAGACGACCACCCACCTAGAGCCAAGGAGTCTGTCCTAGGTTTCTGCCTTTTAACAGGCAGTTTTTCCTTGCCCTTGTTGCCAAGTGCTTGCTCAGGGTGGTACTGTTGGGTCTCTCTAGACCTGCTCTATTTGAAAAGTGTCCTGAGATAACTTTTGTTATGAATTGGCGCTATACAAATACAATACAATTGAATTGAATTGAATTGTTCAACCTGGAGGTTATGCTTATTGAAAATGTCAAGAGCTACACTGTGTGAAAAAGGCAGTGCTGCAGAGGTAAGAATGAAATGTAACTGCTCAAGCAAGCCATCAATTGCTGAACATTGTAGATGTGAAAATACTTCTAATTTCAAAAGAACAGTTGCCAATTATTAGGGATCGAGCCAGTGACAACGGGAAGGTCCCTATTGTTATTTCTCAGTTTATTATTACGTTTAGGACATTTCACTGCATTTTTGACCCCCTGAACGTGTACTTTTCTTGAATTTTATTTGGCAAAGTTGTCAGGCCTGGTGCGATATCGGATATTCTACGCGTCACATTCAGGTCGGCCACTAGGTGGAGCTACTATCATAAAAAATGTGTTTAGGCTAATAACTCCTGCATACTTTGTCTCACATTCAAAAACCTTGTATCCGCGCGTTTGGTGAATGGAGCTGAACCTCCCTATATAGGCCACGCCCACTTCCGCCTAGATTTTTTTCCGTAGAGCGCGAAATGTCCAAAAACTATGTCTTCGTGCTCCATCCATGCAGTTTTGGTCCAAATTGTGTACAATTTTGTACGTAGCATCTGAAGACCGTCCTGACAAAAAAGGTAATTTAAAGTATTTTGATATTTCAAAAAATAAGCAAATTATTAAATTAGCACTTCCTGTTGATTTTTCGTCAAAAAAGGAAGTTGGGCATTTCTCCACATTGGTATGTCCGATTGACACCAAACTTGGGTTGAGTACAATATGTATGAAACTCGGTAGGCATGTGTAACAGGCCGAAATGTACAGAAAAGTCTCTTGGACCCATGCCCCAATACCCACAGGAAGTCTGCAATTTCGATTTTAATTTTCACCATTTTGTGGTCATTCTGACTTTTTGGGCTTGTATTTGAACAAACTCCTTCTAGGGAATTTCTGGGATCTGCTTCAAAATTGGTCAGTACAGTCAACAAATGGTGCTGAATGAACGCTGCTCAATTTGTGACTCTATGTTGAAGTCCGTGGCTTGCCGTCAAAGTTGGCCGTTTTGAATTCCGTGGTCTTATTTACTTATTTGAACAAACAAACTCATGGAATTTATCAGATCTGCTTTAAAACTGGACAGTACACTTGAAATATGTTCCTGATTACAAGTTTTGCTATATGTGACTGTTCCTTGAACAGTGTGCCCGTGGTGTTGCATTAAATTTCGACGATTCGCCATGAAATAGATAGTACTCAACTTCAATGTTCAATGTCTAATCTCCACTAAACTTCACATATTCTGTAACAGTCCCACCCTGTACATGTCCTCATAACTTCACTGTACATGGTCCAATCTCAATGAAACTTCACGTTTGATAAGAGTCCCGACCTGAACACATCTACATGACAATATTCAGTAATAGTGATAGCGCCACCCACCGTCATTTTTATACTTTACTGTATATCTTGGATTGACCAGATCAAAACCTTGTGAATCTTAACAATAAGCAAAATGTCTTACCCATGACCCCCAGTAAGCCCATAACCCAAAGTCCTGCCCTGAACACATCTACATGACAATATTCAGATACAATGATAGCACCACCTACTGGCAACAAGAAATATCAAGTTTTATAATTTTATGTTCTACTCCTATCAGGTTGATCAGATCCAGCTCAAATGTGGTCAGAAAATGCAAAACATATGGTTGCTATATTTATTTATGATAAGAGTCACATCTATGTGATCATATTCAGTAATAGTGATAGCGCCACCTAGTGGCAACAGGAAGTTATCATAATTTCAGTGTACATGGTCCAATCTCATCAAAACTTCACATTTGATGAGATTCCCACCCTGAACACGTCTACATGACAATATTCAGATATAGTGAGAGCGCCACCTAGTGGCAACAGGAAGTATCACGTTTTATACATTCATGTTCTCCTCCTAGCAGGATGATCAGATCCAGCTGAAATGTACTTATAAAATGCAAAACACATTGTTGATCATATGTGTTGTCTGTGGCGTGGCGGGAAATTTTGATGTACCGCCACAAAACACGAATTCGCTATAACTCGAGTGTACATTGTCCAATCGGCTCCAAACTTCACTTGTCTGATAAGAGTCCCGCTTTGAACATGCCTATCTGATAATATTCAGTAATAGTGAGAGCGCCACCTACTGGCAACAGAAAATAAGCGCTGCATTGCGATTTTGAGCTGATTTACGGGAAATGTTCATGTTGTGGGACAATATTCAGACATAGTGATAGCGGCACCTACTGGCAACAGGAAGTAAGTGCTGCATGGCGATTTTGAGTTGATTTACATAAAATGTTCATGTTGTAGTCTGCACATGTTACGACGGCATGCGATGCGGCCGCAGCACGCCCCGAGTTGCGTGGAGTGAGAGGTCCCGCCCAACGCTGCTTGCAGCTTTAATTTTGTAGATGAAATTTATTTAGCTCCACATATCAATAAGAAAATTTGAGTGCAAGCAATCCAGAGGGGTTTATGAAATGGTAATATGAAATCAGTGTTAAAAAAAATTGCATTTTTATGTATTGATTAGCAATATCAAAAGCTATGGAATAAACAGTGTCATAACTTACCATGTACTTCTTAACAAGGTTGTCAGGATTGTCATTTAAGTAGACACATAATGCTTTTAGTATCCATTCCCGTCTTACTTCAATGCTTGGAGTCCCTAACCCTAACCGTAACCCCATGCAGGATGGACCTAAACAGCCGTGACATGACGTGTCCGGTTGGCCTGCCTGCCCTGCATGTTCCTAGCCGATGCCATTCAGCACAAACGTGAACTAAATAAAACACAGTAATTAACCATGGCAATCGATCACGGTTATAGGGAAGATAAACTAAACTGGGACCAAACTCACTGGCATTTTGTTTCATTTCAAGCTCATGCCTATTATTTATTGTCCTTGCCCAAAAAACACAATAGAAAATTATTATGTTTTAGACCTTCAAGCCTAATACAAAAACACGTTAGCATGAAACGGTTAGCAAAAGACCAAGATCAAAATATGCGACCGAGTGCAATAAAAACTGAAAACATTTATCGTTGGTTGATACAACCTACAGTTTTAAACTATATTATCAAGGAAACTTTGTACTTACCAAATCTTTTAGAGATGAGGTATGCTCTCTTCCTGGGCACATGGCGCGCGAGTGTCAACAGTTAAAAAAATACCTGCTTAGCTCACTGGTTACTGCGCATGTCTGAGAATTGTGTATGCGCGCCCATCAGACTGAAGTGAGAAGGTTATGTTAATTTGAATCAGCTGCTTTGTTGCCTTGAAATCTCAAATTATTCCAATGAAACCTGCTTTTTTTTCTGTAAAAACCTAATAATCATTGTAATTCTACCATAACAAAGTTACATAATGTGAACAATATGACTATTTCATTTCTTAGAGCGTATTAACATCAGGCTGAAGCAGGGTTGGTCAGGGAGAGAGCAGTGACTCGCTATGCATTGAGTAAAGACCCACTCCTACTCTGCCATTGATTAGCTATACCCTTAGAGGTGTTCCAGGCTTCTGCTAAATGCTAACATTAGTCTAGCTATGATCTCAACCCGGCGCTAGACAGGCGGCCTGGAACGTGAGCCAGTCAGCCACAGCGGCTCATGTTTTTGTTCCTGTAGCACCAAAGCTGCACAGACAAGATGTACCAACAAAGGCAACAGCAAACAAGAGCCTGGCTATGTGTAAGTTCTAAATATTGATATTTATAGTAAGTTATTAAAAGTAATATTTATTTTTGATAACTCACTTGCTTACACAAGCTTACACCCTTGCAAATGCACCACACAAAACACAGATGACCAAATGACTAGTGTGTAAGGTTTAGTGGCATCTAGTGGTGAAGTTGCAGATTGCAAACAACTGAATACCTCTCGTGTCTGTATTTGACGACATGGGAATGAGAACAGACTGTGAAGTGTGTAGGAGGATCTACTATGATTTGCAAAAAACTTGAAAGTCATCACCATGGCCTGTGTGTGCTTTATCCTTCCTGGGCTACTGTAGAAACAGAAAACACAGCTATTATTTTCAGGTGATTAGACAATATTGAAAACATACCTATTAAAATGATATTTCATTTCTGCCAATACAATAGATTTCCCTAAATGTTACACACTGGACAATTAACATTAAGGAATAACTTACAATAAATATAACTTAAAAAATATGAAACAGCACTAAATCCTGCAGAATATTGAATTAAGTTGCCTGCAGTTGAGTATCAGCACTACTAGAAGTCAGTAAATGACCATATTTCAGTCTGACCCATGGAGACATACCTTGGACGTATGACTTGCGGGAATTATTTTAACATTGGCTTTCAATTTATTACACACAGAGTAACTCAATGCTTTAAACTTAAAGCATCCAATACATAGTGTAGTATTTAATAATTTTTCTTTTTTTCCTGACTAATAAAAAATGATCCCAACTGACATGTCATCATCCCAGAGCTGCTGAGCTTCAAGCTGTATTTGTCGGGCCTGGCACCAGACAGGGGCAGAGACAGCTATTTGTATTGATAGCTTGCTAATAGTAAGCCAGCAGAGGCTCTCTGGATGTTTACTTTTTTGCCAAAACTAAAGAGAAAATAAAAACAAAACTAATTTAAATTAGTATGATGATAGGTTAATAATTTAATATTAAAACATTTAATATTGAAAAAAAAAACACTTGTGTAAGCACAGTGTTAAGCTTCTCTCTCTCCTTCTCTCCAGATCTCTGGATTAGTGTGTTCCTATAGCTTAAGTTTAAATAGTTTGTTTAAACATGTTAATATTTAAATAGTTTAATCTTTTAGCCAAACAACAAATGAAGGCCTGAACCCTGCTCTCTTTGCCTTTGTCATTATTTTGCACTAAACGAAAAACAGAATTGTGTCTTTATTTTAATATATGAAGGGATAGTTTATATTGATATGAAATTTTAAGCCTTGTTTATATTGTTGCCTTATTTGTTGAACTATTTTTAACAATACTGTATATAAAGTATTCAAAATAATTAATTAACGGATTATGAATCGACAGCAGTTTACCTTAAGCCTTAGGCTGATGTCTTTCCTGCTGCAGCTTTACAATTACTGCACTTACTTGAATGAAAAATAGAGTAATAAAACATAACACAGCATACCCTTAGGCACACAGACATAGACAGACAAGACACATACTGGTTTTTCACGATCTCCATAGTTTGCCTGATACATCACAACTCGCGAAGATGTATTGTATGTATCTCCTTTCTTATAACGTATTCTCTGATGTCTTACTGATTATGTCACTTTTTTATACAGTATGCACAGTTTTTAATGGTATAATATAATCGAGTATCCTGGGTTCGCCCAACTGTATGAATTTAATAAGGTAACAATAAACGTGAACATCTCAACTTAAACATTATTATTTATTTAGAACATTACTAGCAACCATGCCACTTTATAACAATATAACAGACACAGACATATACATGTTTGGTTAAACTCAGAAAAGCTGAAATTCTAAATAATTTACACTTCATGTTGCCATGATCAGAGAATGCATGTCCCATTGATTTATCCATCTTGTATCATGTCTAACTTTAGTGGATCATAACATTATTGATTATGGAATATATCTGCAGATGCTCCAGTTCAAGATGAGACCAGACAACGAAGGCCAAACTGTTGGCTACAACAGATTAGGTAAGCCTTGATTTTAGTATAGCACTTGTCGATTACTTGCAGCCCCAACTGGCTGGTTAAGAGGAGGGAGCATTCAGTATAAAACACAGCACAGTCAATTAAATATGTTTTTGAGGTTTTTCAAACATTGTGAATCACTGCAACCACAAGAGGTCATTAAGCGTACAGTCAGAAAAATGCACAGAAAATACGAGGCTGATAGAAACCTCCAGGAAGTTGTGATCACAATAATTAACACAGATTCTACTAATCCCTATGAATTCTGCATAACCTTACACTTTGGTCAAATCCCTGCAACTTTTCTGTAAATGTGATCAATCACTGTAGTTTCCTGAACCACACATCACCAAACTCACTTCGTAGTGACTAGTTCTGATGATGCAGACCATGCGGACAACATCTCATTACCTTCATAATCCTGAGCCTTTTTGGTAAAGTTACTTGGAACACTCCAAAAAGTGTGATTTAATTCTCAATGGAACAAGTTTCCTTCAGTTTTCAGTTTTGTAATATTTACCTTTTCAGCAAAAAAGTGGCAAAAAATGTTGCAATATACAAAGCAATTTTCTGGAAAAGCTGCCGTGGAATCAGACATTTTATGCCACAACAATCCCAAAATACCCTGCGAAATCCTGAAGGGAGTGATGGAATATGAGACAGTAGAAAGCTAAATGTTTTGATAAATATCCTCATGTTCTCCGTAAATGTCCAGAGTGTCTTCATCAAAGGGCTGCTGTACGTTTACATAGTCATCATCACTATCTTCATCATCCCTCTCCTTGTCCCTCAACCAAGGCATAGACGTCCTCGCTTCCCACGTGATTATGACCATTGTCCTCCTCTTCCCCATAGTCATGATCTTCATCGCCATCCTCTTCTTCCATTCCTCTTGTTTGCTCTTGCCTCATACACTCGTACACTTCTTCAAAGTTTGTATAACGCTCTTCCTCCTCCTCTTCCTCAAAATCTTCATGATGGTTCCTGACAGACACTGAAACACATGTATGGGAACAGAATGTGTCATGAATATTAGAATCAGTTCTCTAAATATCACAGTTAACACAAAAAAAGGTTAAACAAACAGCAACAGTCTTATACTGTCACGTGTGTCCTTGTGAACAGACATTGAGTTTGGAAGTGGGCTCCAGGCTGCCTGGCTCCTGTCCTTCTCCTGAGAACCAGAAAGACCACCACCAAGACCAGCAGGGGCACCAGCAGGGGCACCAGCAGGATCCCAGCAACTACTGTGGAGACCAGCAGCAACAAAGGCACTAGGAGAGAAAAACAATGTATCCTTAAAACAACGCCTGATTCTTTTACTGAAGTAATAACCTGGTGATATTTTGGTACAGAGGGGATTACTTTAATATTACAGTTTAATTTCTGTGATATTTATTGTACCCAAACAGCAGGATAAAAACGCACGCTCTACCAGGTGAGCGACCATGTGCACCCAAACCACTATTTAAAACACAATAACTTTCATGGAAACACAAATACCAAAACAGTTCTGGTGTTATGCTAACTACCCTGTTTCTACATTATTGTATTGGTTCTAAGACAATACAAGAGTTAAACATTTAAAACACATCTCTTTTTTTTATATGGAAACATTTTGGTGCAAGTACAATGAATAGGGGCTGGAACCTGCAAAAACACCCATTTCCTATTTATATATTGGTGATAATGCTTTAAACTAAACACCCAAAGGCCAGGATCAATTATTGGAAATACACATACAATAATTTCTATGTATTAACCATAAATCTTAGCTGGAAAACTAAACCACCCTTTTCTACTTCATTGTATTGTTTTGTCTTGTGTTTTAAGACAATAGTAATATAAAAATTCTATTTGACACATTGTTTGATGTCTTACATGGTGTAATTACCATGAACCAGGGAAAACTGCTACACCTGTCTCTTTTTAATAGTATTATTATATAATTTGTTTTAGGACAATAACATCACTGTTATTATTATATGTTATTATTTACAGGCTGTAAATTTAACGTTGAAAGTTGATGATAGAGCTCTGCTCTCCCCACTCTATACTCTTTTGGATGTGGGAACTTTGTTAACACAGAAAACAAATAAACAACTATCTTAAATCCTACAGTGAACTTACATGTAATGATGACACTAATCAGTGTTGTTTCGGTGGAAGTGAATTTCCTTGAGGACAGTGTGACTTCATACACACAGCTGTAGTTGCCCTGGTGTTCATACTCAGCTACAGGGAAGTTGAAGGAGGCTGAGTTGTTGACTGCTGGCTTGGTGTCGGTGATGTTGGAGCCAGAGAAGATGAGAGAGAAAACACCTCCAGGATAGTGGGAGGAAATGGAGCAGGTGATGACAAAGCTGTAACCCCTGGTGACCTCTGCACCTTCAGAACCCCAGGCCAACCCTCTGTTAGGAGATGTCAGGTTGATGCTGGGCTGCAGCAGTGGCACTGGGTACAAAAGGAAACAATGTAAAGACATTTTAGACTAGATGACATTAAAGTGGATTCTGAACACATAGATAAAATGTAGCTAGCACTGTGCTCGAAGAATGTCAAAACTGGTTAAATCTTGGAACTGCGGTTCATTTTTTTGTGCAGCAAAAAACTTGGCTAAAAAAGAGAATATAACTGAAGGGGGGCGCTCATGTGCAATGATGGAGTAGACGTGTTTTCCGAGTGCTCCGTGCCATCTCCTTAATTTTATTTTCATAACATTGCACTTGAACATTATTTTACGCTAGGTTGTCCTTAAAACTGTGCTGTAGCCTGTTGGAAGTGGGTTTATGTCAACATGCCTAAGAAAGACGATAGTCAGAGGGATACATCCAAGACGAGTTTGTCGGCCGCTAGCAACGATGCTATATTAGCAGGTATCGCTAACCACGGGGCTGAGCTCGTGAAAAACACCTCTCTCGTAGATGGCTTAAAGAAATCTCTGGAGGGCCGCCGAGACGCAATTGAAGCAACGCTATCATCGCTTCAGAATAAAAACCATGAAACTGAGCGCCGCTTTGATGATTTCGACGAAGTCATGTCAGCTAATGACGGCCGCATAACAGCACTGGAAGCTACGTGCAACGAGCTACAGGTGGCTAACTGTCTCCTCAAAGCTAAAGTGAATGATTTGGAGGGTCGCTCCCGCAGACTCAATGTCAGGATTGTGGGCATTAAAGAAGGGGAAGAGAAAGGCAGCCCTACTGATTTTGTTTCTAAGCTGATCCCAGAGCTACTCAGCGGAGACAACTTTAGCAGAACCGTAAAAATAGACTGGGCCCACTGTAGCCTGAGACCGTGGCTAACCGAAGCTGGGGCTAAATGTTCCCTGCGTTTTCCTGCCAAGCTCCATGTCGATTACAACAACACATCGAAGATTTTTGTGTCACCAGCCGATGCTGAACGGTTTGCCAACTCTTTAGGCCCAGTGAATGACTCCTAAACCCTATATATTATATATTACTATTATTATGTATATATATATATTTTTTTTTTTCGGATTAGATATTTTCCTATCCGGCATTTTGATAAATGTTCAGATCTAACACATTTATTTTTAGTTGATCATTGATGCAGCATAATGTAATATTATGTGTTTAAATAGCGTATCACACAGTGTCCTTTCTCGGGTGCATGAATCTAGCACTGGGACAATTTTATGTATTACCTTCGGATCGTATTAATATTGATTGATACTCCTGGTTATGTGTATTTATTTAAGCGTTTACCTTTTCATATATACACATATTTTTCTATTGTATTTTCTCTTTATTTTTTTGAGTTTGATGTTTTATATGCTGCACCGTTTATACCTTCCCGCCTGTTATATCTCACCAATCGTGTGTTCTGAATATCGCTTACACTGAGTACTTTATTGTGGGTGCAATTTAAACATTAGTGAGTGTGTTGTAGAAGCGCATGGGGCCGCGTGGTAACTGGGCTTTTCAATGGGCTTTTCAGTGGGCAGTTTGGCTGGCTCTGTTACCCGGCTGCCTCGTTGTTAGCTAGTGGGATGTACCGCTTAGTTCTTTTAGCGGGTTTGGGTTTTGTGGGGGTTTTATTTGTCTTTCTTCATCTGCCATTTTTGTCACTTGATGTTTTGCCAGCCCTTTGTATGTCACATGTCAAACTTCACCTTCTGTCCCTCCGCATAAATCTATGTAATTTACTCACTTAGGTCAGGGATGAGTCACATCACTTTTACTACTTGGGAATTGTAGGGGTATGGGCAGGGCTCTTAAACGAGGTAAAGTATTCTCGCATTTGAAGTCCCTGTCGTTTGATATTGTTTTTTTGCAGGAGACCCATATCCAACCTTCAGAGCAGAGGCGTTTAAGATCTGTGTGGGTGTCTCAGGTATACCAGTCCACCTTTTCCTCCAAGGCGAGGGGGGTTGCCATTCTTGTTCGCAGAACCATCCTTTCAGAAACTGAAATATGAATACAACCATATTCTGGACGAGCAGGTTGGGAACTATATTCGTAGACTAAAGCAGAAGCACTTTGAGCTGGGTGAGAAGGCCGATAAATTGCTCGCTAGGCAACTGAAGGGCGTCATATCTGATAGGGCAATACATAAAATTTCCTCATCCACTGGTCAGCTACTAACTGATCACAAGCAGATCAATGACAGATTTTTTTGTTTTTACAGCCATCTATATACTTCCAGATCTACTGCCACGGATACAGACATTGCCAATTTTCTCCATACTTTAGACATTCCAGTCCTTTCTGAGTCTGCAAGACTAAAATTGGACTCTGAATTTACATTGGAGGAGATCAGAAATGCTATTCGTTCTTTTCCCAGTGGCAAAGCATGTGGTCCAGATGGATTTGGGATAGAATTTTACAAGACACACACTGACGTTATCGCCCCCCTCTTGCTTCGGATGGTCAATTGCTCAGTGAAAAATGGCACCTTCCCTCATAGCCTCTACGACGCCCATATCTGTGTCCTCTTAAAAAAGGACAGAGACGAAACAAATGTTTCTTCGTATCGTCCCCTAAGTCTGCTTAACTCTGACCAAAAGATTATTGCAAAAGTCCTGACCAACCGGTTAAACAAATATATTGGCACTTTAATTCATCCTGGTCAATCAGGTTTCATCCCCGATAGATTTTCCTTCTCAAACACAAGGTGTTTGCTTAATTTAATGTATTCAGCTAAATTGCCCCACTCTGCTGTGATCTCACTAGATGCCCAGCAGGCTTTTGACCAGGTAGAGTGGAAATACACGTTCAGTATGAATATATTAAAAATGCTTTATGCTGGTCCCCAATCTTCTGTTCTAACCAACCACGAAAGGTCCCCCCCGTTCCTGTTGCACCGCGGCACCTGGCAGGGCTGCTGCCTCCCTCCAATGCTTTTTGCATTAGCTCTTGAGCCGCTGGCTTAGAGCCAACCCCCAAATCTCTGGTATAAGGTGCAGCACATCCGAGTGTACCATCGGTCTGTACGCAGATGATGTAATTCTGACTTTTTCAGATGTGAAATCATCCCTCTCACCCCTTCTTTACCTGATATATGGCTATGGGCGATTCAGCTTCAAGAGGTGGCTAAATGATATGGTTTCCTGTTTACACCTTGAAGAAGTTCGGTTTTCTATGTCTAACTCCCAAGATAAGTTTAAGAAGATCTGGGGCCCTTTCATAGAATACATCAGGAAGGATAGACCAAAAAACTGGGACCTAAATGCACTGCACTGTCTTTTTTTTTATATATAATTTTTTTTGTTAGTTATCCATACTGAGACTTTGCCACTCCCCTCCGGCTCAGGCCTCCTTGACTCACTCTGTGTGAGTGGACTTTCTGGGACATCTGTTCAGTGAATCGACATGTATAATTACATTTTCTTTTCTATATAATGAGTAAGTGCTGGCTGTATGTTTTTTTGTATTTGTTTTGTTTTAATTGCCTGGTTAACTGTCTTTTTGTTTGTATTATGTGTGCCTGTATGTATAAAAATCTGCATAAATAAAAAAAAAAAAAAAAAAGACAGTTTATGGTTGGGGCTAAGCAGGCACTATCTTGAATGGGATGACTCATGAAGGCACCATATGCTGCCCCTGAAGACGCAAATTCTAATTTGGAGCCCAAAGGTCCTCTCCAATTCTGGAAAGTATTTTTTAATTGAAAGATGACCAAAGAACGATGGAAAACATGTTTTTGCTCTTCCCCGACTGGCTTGGGTAAGAGTTTGACAGTGAAATATGGTTTGGTATGGTTGATCTGATTGGTTGAATTTTGCCCATGATAGATGGTGACATACAGATGGTTCAACCAATCATCTCCAAAGTGCTTTTTTAAAGTCCCTGTCCCTTTTCAAACAGTTTCCAGTGACGGCTTCCCGAATAGTTCTGTGTAACAAACCATTTGATGCATTCAGGCCTTGAATTTAAACAGCTACAGGACCTTGTCCATTCGCTCTACTGGGGTTTTGCAAAGGCCAGGCAGTAGTAACGTTTTTTCACATACTGTTTGTCCCCTCCCCCTCCACACCTAAATGGTTGCACAAAGTTTAAGTTTTTGCAATGCTTTTTTGAGGGTCTTGGAATGCTTGAATATTCACAAAAATATGCATACATGTCAGAACTGGCAAACATTACAAAGTTCTCCAGTGAGTGGGCTGGGGTCTTGTCAGTGGGCCACAGAAATCTGGTGGGATTATTGCTCTCATCATTGTGAATGTATATCAATTTATTTTACAAGAGTTTGGATTGGAAGTCGGCCATGTAGTAATATACATTTTCTGTCTGTTGAATGCTCAAAATCTCAGAAAACATCACACCCATAGTTGATCTGGTAAATATTTCAATCTGATGTCTCAATTTGACTTGGGCGTGGCACATTTGCTCCATAGCATCTTTATTACTCTTGGCCTGCAGACGCATTTTTGACACCCCTGATATAGTCTAAAAAACTCACGTGACGAATATTGATATCTGATATGGGTCTTGGACATGCGTGTGGCAAAATGGCTCGAAAGTGCCCCCAACAAAATTTTACTTGGATGTACAAAATTCAGGAGCCACATGTCCAGACTTGCACCTTTTGTAGCCATACACTAAAGGTCTTTTTTAGGCCTTATACTTTAACAAACTCCACAAAGAAATTAATGAATCAGATGAAACTGAATTGGGTCAGTACAATCTTAAGACCTTTGTGATGCTAAATCACGAAGCATTTTAGGGTTCATTGAATGGTGTGTCCATGGCATCAAATTTCAATATTTCATCAACAAGAAGAAGTTGTTGTAATCTGAGTGTACATTGTCCAATCTGCCCCAAATTTTACATGGGTGATAAGAGTCCCATCCTGAACACATGCACATGCCAATATTCAGTCATAGTCATACCACCCACTTACTGACAAGGGGGGTAACAGGAAGTTAGCCTTGTGTTACAATCGTTTTTTAATTTACATGGACTTTGCAAGGTGTGGTCTACACTTGATATACTGGAATATACACATAGCGGACACAGGAAGTGACATTTAACTCTTTGCAGTGTCTGAAACATATGAAAAGTCAGACCCATATCGACTGACCTTCAGCAAAATCTGCAGCACACCCCAGTTTTTTTTTTTCAGTGCTAATGCATGTTTCAATGCCAATATTTTGCTTTTCAGTCTGGGTTTCAATTCCAACATTTAAAGTCATTGTTCTAGCGCCATATCAACACACCTGACGAATGTTGTACTGTTGAGTACTGACTGATTCTATTCTATTAGGCAAATCACAGCATGAACACGGTTTTCCTTCCTCATAATTGAGAAGAAATATTCATTGATTTAAAATTTTGTTTTTTTCTTTCCAGTAACAAAAAAACACCATTCTCTGCACAATCATTTTGTAATTTCTACGAAATTTAATAGAAAACGAAATCAATATTGGATAATGTATTTCCTTACCAGAAACACAGAGTCTGACAGAGTCAGTGAAGGGGGAGCTGAAGTCTCGACTTGAAACCTGTGTCTGATACTGACACTGGTATGCTCCCTCGTTATCAAAGTTCACTTTGAGGATACTGAAGGTAACAGAGTTGGTACTTGACGTTTGCCTCTTTCTGAAAGACCCTGAGGTCTTCTGCAGGATAAATGTTCCACCTAAATGCTGAGTTGAGACTGAACAGGTGAATCCAACATCCTGACCCCAGGTAACCTCACCAGCAGGATTCAAGGAGATGCTGGGCTTCGGGAGGCTCACTGGAAAAATTACACAATGTTAGAACCTCTGGCCTCGGCCACTATTTCAGAATTTGAAGTATGTGATCTTAGAAAAAATTTGATATATATATATATATATATATATATATATATATATATATATACGACATGTTAAAAGACTCAAATTCCAAGTATATGATGCATATGACGATTGCATATTCATCCTCTTCCTCATCATCATCATCATCCACACTTATATGGATTTCATCACCTAGATTATTGGTTCCCCATCTGGGGGTTGGGTCCCCCACCGGGGGTTACCAAAGCTTCATCGGGGGTCGCTGCCTTTATCTCAGCATTTTGTTCAATACATCCAGCTATAGCTAGAGTACATAAGGTAACTGCAACTGATGCTACAGTACAGTAACACATAACTTAAATTTCTTGGAATGTATACATAATTTAATACAAGTTAACAACTAACTCAAGACTGAGAAATTGATTTTTCCTTACCATTAACAGAGAGTCTGACAGAGTCACTTAAGGGGGAGCTGAAGTGTCGACCTGAAATCTGTGTCTGATACTGACACTGGTACGCTCCCTCATTATCAAAGTTCACTTTGACGATATTGAAGGTAACAGAGTTGGTACTTGACGTTTGGGTCTTTCTGAAAGAGCCTGAGGTCTTCTGCAGGATAAATGTTCCACCTAAATGCTGAGTTGAGACTGAACAGGTGAATCCAACATCCTGACCCCAGGTAACCTCACCAGCAGGATTCAAGGAGATGCTGGGCTTGGGTAGGCTCACTGGAAAAATTACACAATGTTAGAACCTCTGGCCTCGGCCACTATTTCAGAATTTGAAGTATGTGATCTTAGAAAAATTTGATATATATATATATATATATATATATATATACGACATGTTAAAAGACTCAAATTCCAAGTATATGATGCATATGACGATTGCATATTCATCCTCTTCCTCATCATCATCATCATCCACACTTATATGGATTTCATCACCTAGATTAGTGGTTCCCCATCTGGGGGTTAGGTCCCCCACCGGGGGTTACCAAAGCTTCATCGGGGGTCGCTGCCTTTATCTCAGCATTTTGTTCAATACATCCAGCTATAGCTAGAGTACATAAGGTAACTGCAACTGATGCTACAGTACAGTAACACATAACTTAAATTTCTTGGAATGTATACATAATTTAATACAAGTTAACAACTAACTCAAGACTGAGAAATGTATTTTTCCTTACCATTAACAGAGAGTCTGACAGAGTCACTTAAGGGGGAGCTGAAGTCTCGACCTGAAATCTGTGTCTGATACTGACACTGGTACGCTCCCTCGTTATCAAAGTTCACTTTGAGGATGCTGAAGGTAACAGAGTTGATACTTGATGTTTGGGTCTTTCTGAAAGAGCCTGAGGTCTTCTGCAGGATGAATGTTCCACCTAAATGCTGAGTTGAGATTGAACAAGTGATGGCGACATCCTGACCCCAGGTAACCTCACCAGCAGGATTCATGGAGATGCTGGGCTTGAGGAGGCTCACTGAAAAAATTTCACAATGTTAGAGCAATATATATATTGCCTTTGAGCTGAGGTGTATCTCTTTAGTTTTATTTTTTTAATACAGTCAAATGGAAAAAAAAGAACATTGGGGAATGTATTTTTCCTTACCAGTAACAGAGAGTCTGAAAGAGTCACTTAAGGGGGAGCTGAAGTCTCGACTTGAAACCTGTAACTGATACTGACACTGGTATGCTCCCTCATTATCAAAGTTCACTTTGACGATATTGAAGGTAACAGAGTTGGTACTTGACGTTTGGGTCTTTCTGAAAGAGCCTGAGGTCTTCTGCAGGATAAATGTTCCACCTAAATGCTGAGTTGAGACTGAACAGGTGAATCCAACATCCTGACCCCAGGTAACCTCACCAGCAGGATTCAAGGAGATGCTGGGCTTGGGTAGGCTCACTGGAAAAATTACGCAATGTTAGAACCTCTGGCCTTGGCCACTATTTCAGAATTTGAAGTATGTGATCTTAGAAAAAATGTGATATATATATATATATATATATATATATATATATATATATACGACATGTTAAAAGACTCAAATTCCAAGTATATGATGAATATGACGATTGCATATTCATCCTCTTCCTCATCATCATCATCCACACTTCTATGGATTTCATCACCTAGATTAGTGGTTCCCCATCTGGGGGTTGGGTCCCCCACCGGGGGTTACCAAAGCTTCATCGGGGGTCGCTGCCTTTATCTCAGCATTTTGTTCAATACATCCAGCTATAGCTAGAGTACATAAGGTAACTGCAACTGATGCTACAGTACAGTAACACATAACTTAAATTTCTTCAATTCAATTCAATTCAATTTTATTTGTATAGCGCCAATTCATAACAGAAGTTATCTCAGGACACTTTTCAAATAGAGCAGGTCTAGACCGAACTCTTTAACATTAATTACAGAGACCCAACAGTACCACCATGAGCAAGCACTTGGCGACAAGGGCAAGGAAAAACTGCCTGTTAAAAGGCAGAAACCTAGGACAGATCCTCCGGCTCTGGGTGGTCGTCTGTCTCGACCAGTTGGGGTGAGAGAGAGAGAGAGAGAGAGAGAGAGAGAGAGGCAGAGAGAGAGAGAGCGAGAGAGAGAGGCAGAGAGAGAGAGAGAGAGAGCGAGAGACAGACAGACAGACAGGTGCACAGCAACAACAGTATTGGCAATGGCAGTCAAGCAGGACCATGGCAGGAGGCTCCACCAGGATCCATGAGAATCTGCGAGACGAGAAAGCACAAGAACTCCGGGGAAGAAGTGGAGTTAGTAACATGCATTAATGGAAGATGAATGAGTGCAGAAAGAGAGAGGAAGGGAGGAGCTCAGTGCACCATGGGAAATCCCCTGATAGTCTAGGCCTATAGCAGCATAACTAAGGGATGGTTCAGGACTCACCTGATCCAGCCCTAACTATAAGCTTTATCAAAGAGGAATGTCTTTAGCCTACTCTTGAATGTGGTGAGGGTGTCTGCCTCCCGAACCACAACTGGAAGCTGGTTCCACAGGAGAGGAGCTTGGTAACTGAAGGCTCTGGCTCCTGTTCTACTTTTTAGAGACTATAGGAACCACAAGTAGCCCAGCATTCAGAGAACGTAGTGTTCTAGTGGGGTAATAGGGTACTATGAGCTCTTTAAGATATGAAGGGGCCTGACCATGAAGAGCTTTATAGGTGAGGAGGAGAATTTTAAATTCAATTCTACATTTTACAGGGAGCCAATGCAGGAAGCTAGTACAGGAGAGATGTGATCTCTTTTTCTAGTTCCTGTCAGTACTCGTGCTGCAGCGTTCTGAATTAATTGGAGCGTTTTAATGGTCTTATTGGGGCAACCTGATAATAAAGAGTTGCAGTAATCCAGCCTTGAAGTAACAAATGCATGGATTAGTTTTTCTGCATCTGTCTGTGATAGGATGTGTCTATTTTTTCTAATATTACGTAAATGAAAGAAGGCGGTCCTAGAGGTCTGCTTTATGTGGGAGTTAAATGACAAATCCTGATCAAAGATAACTCCAAGATTCCTGACAGTGGTGCTAGAGGCCAAGTTAATGCCATCTAGAGTAACTATATCTTTAGACAATGAGTCTCTTAAGGTTTTTGGGGCCAAGAACAAGAATTTTGTTTTTTTCTGATTATAACATCAGAAAATTGCAGGTCATCCAGGATTTTATGTCCATAAGACATGTTTGTAATTTAGATAATTGATTAATTTCATTGGGTTTGATTGATAGATATAACTGCGTATCATCTGCATAACAGTGAAAGTTAATGGAGTGATTCCTAATAATGTTGCCTAAAGGGAGCATATATAAAGTAAATAGTATTGGTCCAAGTACAGAACCTTGTGGAACTCCATGACTAACTGTAGTATTTATTGAAGATTCATCGTTAACATGTACAAACTGCGAGCGATCTGATAAATATGACTTAAACCAGCTTAGTGCGGTTCCTTTAATGCCAATTTGATGCTCAAGTCTCCCCAAAAGAATATTATGGTCAATGGTGTCAAATGCAGCACTAAGATCTAATAATACAAGTACAGAGACAAGTCCATTGTCAGAAGCAATCAGAAGGTCATTATTAACTTTAACCAGAGCTGTCTCTGTGCTATGATGAACTCTAAATCCTGACTGAAAATCCTCAAATAAACTATTGTTATGTAGAAAGTCACACAACTCTTTGGCGACTACTTTCTCCAGAATCTTAGAGAGGAAGGGGAGGTTAGAAATCGGTCTATAGTTGGCTAAAACCCCTGGGTCAAGAGTGGACTTTTAAGAAGGGGTTTAATTACAGTGACTTTAAAGGACTATGGTACATATCCTGATAATAAAGAAAGATTAATCATATCCAGTAAAGAAGTGCCAATTAAGGGAACAACTTCTTTAAGGAGCCTAGTTGGGATCGGGTCTAATAGACAGGTTGATGGCTTCGATGAAGAAATGATTGAAGTTAACTGATGAAGATCGATAGCAGAAAAACAGTCTAAATAAATATCTAAGTTTACATTGACAGAAGTCCCTGAACTTGGAGAGCCACTGATGACTGTTGATGGCAGTTGGTGATTAATTTTCTCTCTAATAGTAATAATTTTATTATAAAAGAAGCTCATGAAGTCATTGCTACTTAAGTTTATGGGGATATGTGGCTCAATAGAGCTGTGACTCTCTGTCAGCCTGGCTACAGTGCTGAAGAGGAACCTAGGGTTGTCCTTATTTTCTTCTATTAGTGCTGAGTAATAGGCTCCTCTGGCATTACGGAGGGCCTTTCTATAAATTTTAAGATTATCTTGCCAATTTGAGCGATATTCTGATAATTTGGAAGAGCGCCATTTCCTTTCAGATTTCCTACCTATTTGTTTTAACTGGCGGGTTTGGTGGTTATACCAAGGTGCTAGTCTCCTATGTTTTAATAATTTCCTTTTTATAGGAGCGATAGAGTCTAATGTTGATCGTAGTGAGCCTGTAGCACTATCGACAAGATTATCAATTTCAGAGGGACTAAAGTCGTTATAGGACACTGAAGGAATCTCCTCCTTAAATTTAGCTACAGCACTGTCAGATAGACATCTGCTGTAGGAGGTTTTGCCTAATGGCTTATAATCTAATAGTATGAATTCAAAAGTTATTAAATAATGGTCAGATAGGAAAGGATTATGTGGGAAGACTATTAAATGTTCAATATCAATGCCATATGATAAGACAAGGTCAAGAGTGTGATTAAAACAATGAGTTGGTTTATTTACACTCTGACAGAAGCCAATTGAGTCTATTAATGATATAAATGCATTACTAAGGCTGTCATTGTCAACATCCACATGAATATTAAAATCACCTACAATAATTACTTTATCTGATTTAAGGACTAAACTTGATAGAAACTCTGAAAATTCAGATATAAAATCAGAGTACGGTCCAGGAGCGCGGTACACTATAACAAACAGAACTGGCTGCGGTGTTTTCCAGTTTGGGTGAGAAAGACTAAGAACAAGGCTTTCAAATGAATTATAATTTAGTTTAGGTTTAGGGTCCATTAAAACACTCGAATCATATATGGCTGTCACTCCACCTCCTCGGCCTGTGCTTCGAGGAATGTGAGTATTAATATGACTGGGGGGGTGGATTCATTTAGGCTAACATACTCCTGGTGGGACAACCAGGTCTCAGTAAGACAAAGTAAATCAATATCATAGTCTGATATTAATTCATTCACTAAAACAGCTTTAGAGGACAGAGACCTGATATTTAACAGTCCACATTTCATTCTCTTATTTTGTGCTACTGAGGAGTTAGTTTTAATTTTTATTAGATTTTTATGTTGAACTTGTTTTTATTTCTTTAAATAATTTAGGTGGTCGGGGGACAGACACAGTCTCTATGGGGTTTTGGGTGGGTGACTGTTCTAAAGAAAGAGCAGAGAAGTGTGTAAGACAGCAGCTCTGCTTCCTGGTCCTAACTCTGGACTGTCAGGTTTCTTGGAATGTATACATAATTTAATACAAGTTAACAACTAACTCAAGACTGAGAAATGTATTTTTCCTTACCATTAACAGAGAGTCTGACAGAGTCACTTAAGGGGGAGCTGAAGTCTCGACCTGAAATCTGTGTCTGATACTGACACTGGTACGCTCCCTCGTTATCAAAGTTCACTTTGAGGATGCTGAAGGTAACAGAGTTGATACTTGATTTTTGGGTTTTTCTGAAAGAGCTTGAGGTTTTCTGCAGGATGAATGTTCCACCTAAATGCTGAGTTGAGATTGAACAAGTGATGGCGACATCCTGACCCCAGGTAACCTCACCAGCAGGATTCATGGAGATGGCTGGGCTTGAGGAGGCTCACTGAAAAAATGTCACAATGTTAGAGCAATATATATATTGCCTTTGAGCTGAGGTGTATCTCTTTAGTTTTATTTTTTTAATACAGTCAAATGGAAAAAAAGAACATTGGGAAATGTATTTTTCCTTACCAGTAACAGAGAGTCTGAAAGAGTCACTTAAGGGGGAGCTGAAGTCTCGACTTGAAACCTGTAACTGATACTGACACTGGTATGCTCCCTCATTATCAAAGTTCACTTTGACGATATTGAAGGTAACAGAGTTGGTACTTGACGTTTGGGTCTTTCTGAAAGAGCCTGAGGTCTTCTGCAGGATAAATGTTCCACCTAAATGCTGAGTTGAGACTGAACAGGTGAATCCAACATCCTGACCCCAGGTAACCTCACCAGCAGGATTCAAGGAGATGCTGGGCTTGGGTAGGCTCACTGGAAAAATTACGCAATGTTAGAACCTCTGGCCTTGGCCACTATTTCAGAATTTGAAGTATGTGATCTTAGAAAAAATGTGATATATATATATACGACATGTTAAAAGACTCAAATTCCAAGTATATGATGAATATGACGATTGCATATTCATCCTCTTCCTCATCATCATCATCCACACTTCTATGGATTTCATCACCTAGATTAGTGGTTCCCCATCTGGGGGTTGGGTCCCCCACTGGGGGTTACCAAAGCTTCATCGGGGTCGCTGCCTTTATCTCAGCATTTTGTTCAATACATCCAGCTATAGCTAGAGTACATAAGGTAACTGCAACTGATGCTACAGTACAGTAACACATAACTTAAATTTCTTGGAATGTATAAATAATTTAATACAAGTTAACAACTAACTCAAGACTGAGAAATGTATTTTTCCTTACCATAAGGTAACTGCAACTGATGCTACAGTACAGTAACACATAACTTAAATTTCTTGGAATGTATACATAATTTAATACAAGTTAACAACTAACTCAAGACTGAGAAATGTATTTTTCCTTACCATTAACAGAGAGTCTGACAGAGTCACTTAAGGGGGAGCTGAAGTCTCGACTTGAAACCTGTAACTGATACTGACACTGGTATGCTCCCTCATTATCAAAGTTCACTTTGACGATATTGAAGGTAACAGAGTTGGTACTTGACGTTTGGGTCTTTCTGAAAGAGCCTGAGGTCTTCTGGAGGATAAATGTTCCACCTAAATGCTGAGTTGAGACTGAACAGGTGAATCCAACATCCTGACCCCAGGTAACCTCACCAGCAGGATTCAAGGAGATGCTGGGCTTGGGTAGGCTCACTGGAAAAATTACGCAATGTTAGAACCTCTGGCCTTGGCCACTATTTCAGAATTTGAAGTATGTGATCTTAGAAAAAATGTGATATATATATATATATATACGACATGTTAAAAGACTCAAATTCAAAGTATATGATGAATATGACGATTGCATATTCATCCTCTTCCTCATCATCATCATCATCATCCACACTTCTATGGATTTCATCACCTAGATTAATGGTTCCCCATCTGGGGGTTGGGTCCCCCACTGGGGGTTACCAAAGCTTCATCGGGGGTCGCTGCCTTTATCTCAGCATTTTGTTCAATACATCCAGCTATAGCTAGAGTACATAAGGTAACTGCAACTGATGCTACAGTACAGTAACACATAACTTAAATTTCTTGGAATGTATAAATAATTTAATACAAGTTAACAACTAACTCAAGACTGAGAAATGTATTTTTCCTTACCATAAGGTAACTGCAACTGATGCTACAGTACAGTAACACATAACTTAAATTTCTTGGAATGTATACATAATTTAATACAAGTTAACAACTAACTCAAGACTGAGAAATGTATTTTTCCTTACCATTAACAGAGAGATCTGACAGAGTCACTTAAGGGGGAGCTGAAGTCTCGACTTGAAACCTGTAACTGATACTGACACTGGTATGCTCCCTCATTATCAAAGTTCACTTTGACGATATTGAAGGTAACAGAGTTGGTACTTGACGTTTGGGTCTTTCTGAAAGAGCCTGAGGTCTTCTGGAGGATAAATGTTCCACCTAAATGCTGAGTTGAGACTGAACAGGTGAATCCAACATCCTGACCCCAGGTAACCTCACCAGCAGGATTCAAGGAGATGCTGGGCTTGGGTAGGCTCACTGGAAAAATTACGCAATGTTAGAACCTCTGGCCTTGGCCACTATTTCAGAATTTGAAGTATGTGATCTTAGAAAAATGTGATATATATATATATATATACGACATGTTAAAAGACTCAAATTCAAAGTATATGATGAATATGACGATTGCATATTCATCCTCTTCCTCATCATCATCATCATCATCCACACTTCTATGGATTTCATCACCTAGATTAATGGTTCCCCATCTGGGGGTTGGGTCCCCTACTGGGGGTTACCAAAGCTTCATCGGGGGTCGCTGCCTTTATCTCAGCATTTTGTTCAATACAGCCAGCTACAGCTAGAGTACATAAGGTAACCGCAACTGCTGCTACAGTACAGTGACAAATATAGGCTATTAGTACAACAGAATGTGTGATTTGGTAATAAATCTTGATTATGAAATATATCTGGTAACTAGATGTTTCTCTATTTTTTTTAAATGGTTGACTGAGCATTTACCGAAGTCTGTACATAGCTTTTAGACATACATAGATACAAGATACATAGGAACACCACGACATAACAACAAGAATATACCCGTAATGCAGCGCATTTAGCACATTCAACAGCCCCTGTCCTGTGCGTAGCACCCACCCACAGCAGCTACTGTGGTGCCTTGTTGAGAGATGCGATGGCAGAAGGTACAAAACTCCTGCCATAGCGACCACGTTTACAGGCCAGAGTCCTGTATCTGAGTCGAGATGGTAGCAGTGCGAATGATGAGTTGAGGGGGTGGCTGGGGTTGTGTTCTATACTGAGTGCTCTGCGTGTAATGGCTGTATTGTTGAGGTCTGAGAAGTCGGGGGTGGGGAGACCAATGATTTTAGAGGCGTGGTGTGTAATGCGTGTCAGTATGTTTCTATGTGAGGCATCTAACATGTTGAAGAAGCATGTTGAACAGGATGACGGGTTGGACTATACTTTTATAGAGTAATAACAGAAGTTTGTGGATGCCAGTGGTGTGATGACTGAAGTTCAGTTTATTGTCCAGGGTAAGGGTGAGGTATTAGATGGACAATCTCCACGGATTCACTGTTGATCATTGTGGGGTTATGGATGAGGTTGTGTGCTGAGCTGTGGATGCTGGAAGTGTTGATGATCAGTTATTTTGTTTTCTTAACATTCAGTTCTAGATGACTGTTTGTGCAGCATTGTATGAAGTGGGAGATGGAGTCCTGGTAGCTTAAAACAGAGTTATTGTCGTTGAGGAGTGCAAGTATGGCAATGACATCAGAGTATTTAATATATGTGGTGACAGTTGAGGGGCTGGTACAGTCATTGGTGTACAGGGTGAACACCAGGACACAATCTTGTGGGGCTTCTGTGTTGGTGATGATGGTGGAGGATGTAGCCCACTATGCACTATGTGCCCACTCTGACTGTCTATGGTCTGAGGAAACTGTGGACCCAGTGAATAAGGAGTGGAGGGATGCTGAGGTAGTGGAGTTTCCTGATCATCTGATGACGCTGGATGGTGTTAAAAGCAGAACTGAAATCGATGAATAGGATTCTGGCGAAGTTGCTGGGTGATTCTAGGTGCTGTAGGAGGGAGTAAAGGAGACATGCCGCAGCATCCTCGGTCCCCCTTTTGGCCTTGTAGGCAAACTGATCCCTGCACTGAACTAGATCTTTTGCGTCTGTCCCCTCCTTCAACCAAGACATTAATGAGGCGGTTATTGGTACTTGACCTTTTCAGAGTTTACGCGATCAAGAGGGGATGTTCTTGAGACGATTTTTAACTTATATCTCTCTGTAGAGGTGATTTGGACCCTTATGGAGAGATGAGACACTAGGTCCCATGGCCGTCCCATTAAGTGGTGTAGAGGGACAGTGGTAGTAATTTACATTCGTTTTCTTCTTTGTCTTTTGCAATATGTAGTTTTATTTCATGTTTTTGCTATAATCTCACATTTGTCAAATATATAAAACACTTTGAAATGAGAAAAAGACCCTATTTGGCACACCTGTGAGTGCTCATGCAATTTTGCTGAGTGAACCTGAGGAAGCTGCAAGCCAAACGTATTGTTTGCTTCTTAAATAAATCACAATAAAGTCACTCCAGTGTGCGGTGGTTAATTCAGATTTTTTTTTTACAAGGCCCTTATTATAATATTTTACACCGATCAGCCTTAATACTATGACCACCTGAGCACCCTGGTGGTCAGAATGTTCTGCAGCCCCATACCAACAAACTGTGATGCATTGTGTTCTGACACCTTTCTATCAGAACCAACATTAACTGTTTCAGCAGTTTGAGCTACAGTAGCTCGTCTGTTGGATCAGACTGCACGGGCCAGCCTTCTCTCCCCACCTATGACCCTGTCTCTGATTCACTGCTTTTCCTTCCTTGGAGCACTTTTGATAGGTACTGACCACTGCAGACCAGGGACACTCCAGAAGATCTGTAGTTTTGGAGTGGCTCTGACCAAGTCGTCTAGCCATCACAATGTGGCCCTTGTCACAGTTGTGATGGCTAGACGACATTGTCAGGGCTCCTCATCTAAGGCTAGCTGAAGAAGCAAAACCTCATAAATAAAAATGTCTTCTCACCTGAACAGACCACACCAGCGTCCTCACCGTGTCCACAGTTGTGTGTCCCAAATCCTATATGCTGACACTCAGTTAAAGACCTTTCACTTCCTGAACAGGACACATCATCAAGCCAGATTTGTCCTGTTCCTTGACCAAAGTGGGCCAATTCAGTGGCATCCAGTGCCGTACCACAGTCCAACTCTCTGCACACCACCTTAGTATCATTTAAGTCCCAGCCGTCATCACAGACTGTTCCCCAGGTATCATTGTAATAGATTTCAACTCTTCCAGAGCACTGAGTAGACCCAGACCCAGCCAATCTGATCTGCACACCTAATTGACACGTAAGAAATATCAGACATTATTTTTACTTTTTAACACACAAGATACATGAAAAAACCACAGGATTTGTAGGTATCACATATAGGTATTATCTGCAAATATCTCCTCCCTGAGTTTTAACTGTTAAAATTTGTTAATTTACTTTCTGTAGTTCCCATAAACTTGTTGATAAAGCCAAGATGTCTCTCTTGAAGCTCAGGATTTGAGCTTTTTTTTTGTGACATTAATGTTATAACTATCTGTAAATCTTGTATGTAATTTGGTATAATTCTTGTGATTCTGTTAGATTAATCATGCTGTTCCTTAATGTATCTTGCTTTGTCTTTTGCAATATGTAGCTCGCACATTTGTTAAATATATAAAACACTTTGAAATG